GTTCACGGTCTGCGAGCTGAAACCACATATGAACTTGGTATTACCTATGTCCTGAATTTGCCATGACCTGTGTATGCGTCACGTTTCTGCAAACGTGCATTGTTGAGGTGTTACGGGATCTTGAAAAAAGAGAGACTTTTTGGCTATAAAAACCCTGTAGAAAATCTGATCGAGGTTCCTTTTTGCTTTGCAAAACGAATCCACGCCACTCTGACTTTTGAAATCCCATTTTGGGACTTAGTCTCTGAGCCAAGATCTTTTAAAACCTCAAGTGTCTATACTCACAGGTTTAGACTTTGGTCTTTGAGTTTTGTTTTCCTTTTCCATTTTTTTAAAATATTTTTACTTTTACTCTTTTTTATTTGCATTCATATTATCATTTAATGTTTTTTAAATACATTTTCGGAAACTTTTTAAAATCATTTTCTGACTGAAATCATTTACACCACAAAAGACCGGAGTCTCCCTTAAGGACCATGTGTACCTCGGAAGGTAAGTTTTGAGCAGTCACACCACGGCACACTTGTCTTACTGATTTACACTTCATACACACCTAACATCCTAGTGAGGGGAGTTCAGTTAGTCCCTCTCCGGGGGGTAATCTAGAGTCCTATACCAGGGGTTATCCTTGAATCTAATTATTCTAGAAATGAATGTTAGGCAGATAATCCTGGGGCTGTGATTATAACTTGTTCATCTGTACCTCCAAAGGGTGTTAGAGGAGTAATTTTACATAGCTCCTTCCACTAGGAAAGAGTAGACTAGCAGGTTGGTAGGGAGTGAGCTCTCATTTAGTTCTAGGAAAGAGTAGTCTAGTTAACTAATGTGTGGTGAGCTTCCGTTAGCTATAGTAAAGTTATTCACCCCTTTTTGCATGTCCAGGACATGCTACACTCCTTGCCGGAACTCCCTCAGGCACACCCACAAATGGTGTCATACCACCCAAGCATGCGACTGCTCAAGCCAGCTCAGCTGTCTAACGAGGTAATGGCTGCCATGCCTGCCCATAAGGTCTTTACCGCACTCGCTACAGACGAGGCTACACTCTAAGAAATTGCTGGAAATTTACAAGGAAATTTCAACAGTATAATCCTGTTATGTTTAAATACAGGACATTACTGTATTATAACTGTTTATAACAATATTTTACTGTATTATCGCTTGAAGGAAACAAAACAGTAATTTACCGTAGTTTTTGCAATGCATTTTGGGAAAAAGAAGTTGAGACCACATGGTTGAAAGGACAGTGGAGTTGGCTTTGTCAGATTGTCATCCATCTCCATCCTGACAATCAAGAGGTGAGTGCCTTACTGCTTTGCTAGTTAGAATTGGCAAAAACCATCACTTACTAAGTTTGAAGTCATTTGTGGGATTAATGTTAGCTAGATTTGGAAATTACACAGAAACACTGCAGGCAGACACACACAGTGAGTGAATTCTATGCCAGCTAACAATTCTATGCCAGCTAACATTAGCTTGAAATACAGATCTTAACAGTTGCTAAATGGGACAAAAAACAAAACATTTTCTTGTAATGTGGTTAACTAAGTGGGCTATAATGAACTTGACTTGCTTGCCTGGTTGTACTAGAATGGTAAGGTTAGCTAACATCAACAAGCTAACATTTCTTTGTTTCAGCTTCAACTGAAACTGACACTGACTATTGATTAAATATTGAATTAGAAATGATGATTAGCTGGGCCTACTAGGCAATATGGCCATCGTATAAATAGTATAATATACAGTATTTGAAAATGTATAAAAGGAAACTTTAGTGAGACTGTCAGAATGGACCTGGAGCATGTTTTTTGTTTTTTACTGTTTTAACACAGAAAGCTGCTGCCATACATCCTGAATTCATGTACTTAAAGTAATTCCAGGACTTATTTTTATTCATACTAGTTTTACTTCATACTTTTACTTTACTTCTTTGTATATGGAGAATATTCAGAAAGGATTGTCCATATGATAATGTTCACTGTTCAGCTGGAGCTGCTTTTGTTCTAATGTTGTTTTTTCCTTTTACAGAATCCATGTGGCAGTTTCAGTCTGGAAGGAGAAATCAGAGGGAGGTGCAGGTCCAGGGACCCAATTTCCCTCAGAGGACAGGTTGTTATATGGCTGTTATATGAAACTATAACAGATTTGTTTTCACTTCTCTGTTTAAAATGTATCCACCAAAACTCTTTTATGTACTATACATTGGAAATGGCCTTTGCTAAATGTCTTAATGTAAATATTTGTGCTAGATTTTTTGCCTATTTAACCTTCATGTTCTTAAAGTGAATCTTCTTTGTTTTTGTTACAGTTTCAATAAAGACAGATGTGGTTTGAGATGACAGTTTGAATTTTTATCATTTGTCTTAACATTTTAAGTTGCAATTTTAAAGGCACTGTTTATTTATTATTTTAAAACATGGTGTTTTATAACCTGACATACAAGGAATCATTTATCAAATCACTAGGTTTAGAAAATAAATATATTGTGTCCATTTTGGTAGAAGGAAATTAATCTATAGCTAGGTGTAGTATTTACAATTCACAGTAAAAATCTGCAAAAAAACAGTATTAAACAGTTAATTCTTTCAACAGTATTTTCCTGTTAAGGTTTAAAATCACAGCTTTTTGCTGTATTTACAGAAATTGTAGAAAACTGTAAATTTCAGCAACAGCAATATACCGTTAATTTTACAGTAACTTCCTGGCAACCCTACTGCCAGTTGTTTACCGTTTTTTAACAGGGGGAATTTCTAAGAGTGTACAGACATGGCAGAAAGAGAAAATGGCAAAAATCCAAACAGTCCGCTGACCTCAATGACTATAAGAAAAGACTTGTCTCATTCTCCTCCAGCCTGAAAACGGCCAAGACAACATATTATCAGAACCAGATATGCAATGCCACAGAAACAAGAAAAATGTTTTCTGCTTTTAACTCACTGCTTCAACCACCTCCTCGTCCACCCTCCGATCTGTTCACACCAGACATGTTTGCCTCGTATTTTACAGAAAAGGTTACAACCATCAGTAACCAGTTTTCTGAACCTGACCAACTCAGCCCAAAGGCACCAACCAAAAGTGCCTCACTCGACTCATTCTCCTCTCTGACTGAGGATGAAGTCTCTAAGCTTGTGCTAGACTCTCGGCCCACCACCTGTCCTCTGGACCCAATACCATCAAGCCTCCTGCAGACCATTTCCTCTCTGCTTAATACTGCACTTAAGCATATCATCAACTCTTCTCTGTCAACGGGTGTGTTCCCCACCGCATTCAAGCAAGCTCGGGTCACCCCTCTGCTCAAAAAACCCACACTAAACCCAGCCCAGGTTGAAAACTACAGACCGGTTTCTCTTCTGCCCTTTCTGTCAAAAATACTTGCACGCACAGTCTTTAAGCAAGTCTCTGAGTTCCTGTCCAGAAACAATCTGTTTGACCCAAATCAGTCAGGCTTTAAGCAGGGCCACTCTACTGAAACTGCACTACTGTCAGTAACAGAATCGCTATGAGCTGCCAGAGCTGCGGGTCAGTCATCAGTTCTATTACTGCTAGACCTGTCTGCTGCCTTTGACACAGTCAACCATCAAATCCTCCTATCCACACTCTCTGAACTTGGCATCTCAGGATCTGCCCTCTGCTGGTTCGTGTCCTACCTCTCTGGGCCTTTAGAGTGTCGTAGAAGGGAGAAGTGTCCAAAGCGCACAGCTTATCCACAGGGGTACCTCAAGGGTCAGTGCTTGGTCCCCTTCTATTCTCCATATACACAAGCCCACTTTGTTCAATAATCCGCTCTCATGGCTTCTCATACCACTGCCATGCTGACGATACCCAGCTCTTCCTGTCATTCCTGCCAGACGATGTTACAGTCTCTGCAAGAATCTCGTCATTCCTTGCTGAAATCTTTAAATGGATGAATGAACGCCAGCTTCAACTCAATCTTTCAAAGACTGAGCTCCTTGTCATCCCAGCCAGTCCCTCTATGCAACCACAGATCAATATCCAGCTTGGAACAACCAAACTCATGCCCACAAAGTCTGCCCGGAACCTGGGTGTCATGATTGATGACCAGCTAACTTTTAAGGTTCAAGTAGCCTCAATTGCCTGGTCATGTCGTGAGAACATGCTACGCAGCTCCTGGTACAGGCTCTTGTGATATGACGCATCGACTATTGCAACTCTCTACTGGCAGGTCTTCCTACATGCATGCATCATGCATCAAACCCCTGCAGATGATACAAAATGCAGCAGCACGACTGATCTTCAACCTTCCTAAAAGAGCACGTCACTCCGCTGTTCATCTCCTTATACTGGCTCCCAGTTACTGCTCGCATCAAATTGAAAACGCTTACAAAACAGAGACAAACACGGCTCCTCCTTACCTAAACTCTCTGATCCAGGTCTACACTCCCTCCCGCCCACTCTGCTCTGCCAATGAAAGGCGTCTGATCAAACCTTCACAACAGGGTCCTCAGTCTCTGACTAGACTCTTCTCCTCTGTCGCCCCCCGGTGTTGGAATGAACTAACAAACTCCATTCGATCTGCAGAGTCCCTCTGCACCTTTAAGAAAAAGCTAAAGACCCAGCTCTTTCATGAATACCTACTAACTTAATGATGATGGTCTCCATATTATTGATGATAATGATGGTTGTGACGATGGTTTTTGTTTGATAACAATGACTTATAAGATGGTTTCTATACTGATTAGAGCTCTCAAGAACTGCCGTCAATGTTGTGCTTTGCCTCTGAGCAATGCCTGTCAGCACCTGTGTGTCCAATCGGACTCAAAGCTGATCATTTGCTCTTACTGACATTGTTCCCTTTTTTCTAGATCCTTGCTTGTGTTGTACTTACTCTCTGATGTATGTCGCTTTGGATAAAAGCGTCTGCTAAGTGAATTGTAGAATTGTAAAGGCCTGTGTTCACATTTTATCAACATTACATTAAAATGGCAATGACCTCAAATGTTCAATCAATCCAAAAACAATAAAAACAGTCAACACACACAATGTTTTCAATGATTTATTAAATATTGCATAATACTGAAGTTACAGCAGTATAGTAACTTTAGGTATTTTCAATGTAACAGCACTGCAAATTGAAGTCAACAAACCAAAACTGTTGCAGTTGTGTGTCTCATGAAACTTGACCATTCTTTTCGTTATTTATTAATCTTTGTGTTAAAGCATTGTGTCACACTTATAAGTACTTGCAAGGAAATTGTTCTCCCATTACAAAGACAAGAACCAATGGTAAACCATGGTTACATTAAATATGTAATAAACACATTTCAGTGACCCCCCCTCCCCCCCCCAAAAAAGGGGGAGAAAAAAAGGAAAAATGAGGCACAATTTTTCATCTAACATAAGGCATTTTGATGCTCACAAATGGCAGCGTAATGTTCATGTGTGTCAAACTTTCTGTGCTCATATGCTGCACTCTGTGCTGTTCCTCCCATCTTCCATAGTCTATTTTTTATTTTACATATTTACAATCCTTCTTGTGCCAAGCTGCACAATGGTCTATGTATTCACCCAAAGTGAAAAATATGCCATTTATTTCATATTGTTTGTGCGCTAATCACATATTAATACATTCATACATCCTGTGATGTTTTATGGACCACATACTGAAGTTAAATGTTTTATGGCTGAATTGGTGATTTGTGATGTGTTTATTTGTCATCATATAGTGTGTTGGATATTAAGTTAACCATTTCTGTCAGGCAATAAACACCTTGTCTCTCAACCATGAGGTGCTGGACGTACAAAGAAACAAAAATGTCTAGCCACTGGTAGATGAGGAAACATTCTTTTTTAGTGTGACAAAACACCTGACTATAACACCACGTTATAAAGGCAAACCTATAAGTGTATTATCGTAATTTTTTATCGTGAGAAAACATTCCCATGCTGTATTGGAAAGACTGTCAGTGGTGATTTCCACATGGGGAAACAACAATTTTGACTCAAAAGCTAACAAAAAAAGCATCACACTACTCAATAAGCGCCTCAATATTGTTAAAGTAATATACTTTATCAATCATGAAACTTCATATATTACTTATGTGGTAGCCACATTCATTTTCGAACCGAGTTCAGTTAATAACAATGTTCATCATCACTGCACAACTTTAGCTAGCAATTTCAGAAAAAAAACTTTAGTAAACATACACTTTTCCTAGTTTCCTGTTTTATCTTTCAATCCTTCACATTGTGTTTCTAATTTTGTGTACTCTGGCAATGAGAGAGCATTACACTAAAAGGTAGACCCATCTGGAACCATTTGATTAGAAATGTTTGGATTGAATAAAAGGACTTCTGAAGCATCAGAACCTCAATCAGGTCATAACAGGTGACTTGAACTATTTGCAGGTCTTAATTGACACCTAGCTATTATGTATGAGAACAGTGCAACAGATGATGAAGCCAATGAAAAATAATTCAATGAAAGAAAAAAAAGAAAACATTAGCTATCATCTTTCTGTATGCAGAGGGTTAGGGGTTAGGTTACTATCAACTAACAGGTCTGTGCAAAGTGGGAGCTTCTGTCTTGTAGGAAGATAGCTCTAATGCTTTGATGGAAGTTTTTAAATTGACTTGACATAAGGAAGCTGTTAAAGGCTCTGATTTGATTTGATCTTTTATTGATTTTATAATTTTTAATGTGTGCTGTATACATGCTTACCTTATTATTAAAATCAATATGTTCACTATGTTACCCAATTTGGATTCACTTTACATTAAATATGTTGCCATATTCGGAAGGCCTCTTAAAGTTTTCTATTCACATGCCTACAATATAACATAAAATGTTGTCATGAATAGTGTGGTTTTAATCTCATTATGCTCTCCAAAAATGATTAAAAAAGCTTTTTGTATCATCACTGATGAATCTATTATTATCATGTTAGTTGAGATACCATTAAATGATCAAACAGGAAGTCAAGTCTCACCACGCCTGTCCTGTGGAGCCAGGCTTAAACCAGTTAGCTTACAGGTACCAGCCATTAATAAAAAAAGGCCACTTTATTGTCAGAATACTTTTACATGGTTTCTAGAACATAGTATAGGCATAGAGTTTCTCTTCACTTTTATAAATGTGTGTCCTGTATTTGTGTTTATTCTGGTAGCCACTGCACTCTTTAGTTTTTTGTGTGTTTTGTGATGCACTTGACAAAGGTTGTTGAAGGGAATTCTGAACCTTTATCCAAAGCTTTTGGGGTTGTGAGGCTAGGTTGTGAACATTTGTAATACTGTCTTTAAGATAAAATATGAGTCAGAAAATGTAAAACAGGTTTGTCAGACCACTTTGTAAATAAGCGTCATACAAAAGGCTTTAAGTATTTTAACACATATTTCTCAAATCTATACTGCAGACATTTTCTGATGGAGAGTCCACGAATGTCTCACCACATTTCATCATACATGAATGGTATGTCTGGTCAAACACTAAAGGATTTATTTAGGAAGCAACATCTAAGAGACTGAAAATCTAACTCTGATAAACACCTGTGGGTCCTGAAAGGTAGCTTATGACAAACAGGTACAAACCAAAATCCAATAAAAAATCCTTCTGAATCCCCCCATGTCCACTTCAGGTAACAAGATCCACTCTTTTCTCCATGTACTGCTCTGCTGTAGCCTGCCAGCCTCCACACTGAGTTGCTAAGTAAATACTTCTGTGCCAAAAATGTAATGGATAGAATAGATAACAATTTATATTAAACTATTTACTATCACTAAAATCTTGATTGGGGTATGTTTTTATGAAAGAATTCCATCTGACAAGATGAAATATATCTGTTGAAAATGCGTACACAATACCAAGGTCTCAGCATTAAACTGTCTTTATCCCCGCCTACAGCAGTTTGACATATCTCTGGCCAAACCAATCACTTTCCGAGACAAATAGGATTTGCCTTGCTAAAATACAATACTAACCAATAGTCATGCGTGATAGTATTGATTTCCCAAGCTTGACAGGCATCCATGTGTTACAGTCAGATGAGATATCCCTACAGTTTCACCTCCTTCACGTAATTCCCAGGGAAAGTCCCAAACTGCTTTGTCCTCTTTGATGTACCTGTATAAACAAAACAGAAAGAATATCATGGGTGAGCAAAAGAAAGTCAATTGATTCATAAATAATTGTAGTACAAAAATACATTTTAAAGCTATATTTAAAATCAACTGCAAGGCCTGTGCCTGTACGTCCCATGTAAATAATCTGCTACACATTGAAAATGACTCTACATCTCAAAGAGCTATGAGCAGGCACATTGCATGCATGCAGTCTTTTGCTGTCATTCCCTAAGAAACCCTACATGGATTAATGGGACACCTTGCGAGTGACTTCATGTCTAAGGAATGTGTTGTAAGGCCTACAGCACATACCAACGAACCAGCCGTCATCACACTTCTCCATGACGCTGACGAGATCACCCTCCTGCAGCTCTAACTCATCCTCATTCTGCGGCACGTAGCTGTACAGAGCCTGGAAACTGGGGAAAGATTCAATCTTATTTTGGTAAACTGGCAAAGCTGCTGAGACACAATGTCAAACGCGTAACAAATGCAGGGTTGCTTAACTGAATTACAACAAAAACATGGCAACTTAAGGTGATAAAGAGCGTACTCACATTCCACAATTCAGACGGCTCGGCTCTGGGCTGCTATTGTGGGAATGGGGTTGCTGGGAAATGATGAGAGATTGTTTACTGGGATGGGGGTGCAGTCCGTGAACAGAGTCATGAGGGTGGTGGGGCAGGGTGCTGCAGTACCTCACTGAGGTCTCAGCTATATTCAAGATCTCATTACACACTGCCTCCTAGTTGTAGTAGTAGGTGAAGTCATCAGAGACAGACACACAGCAGCCCAACCGAGTCCCACAAGAGGTTGAGGTGAAGTTGAAGGAGGAGTTGAGGAGTTAGAGAGTAAGGGGATGAAGAGCAAAACAGGAAGTGGTCCAATAAGTGGTAAGAGAGAAAAGGAAGTGATCCGTTAAAAGCCAGGAGACAAACAGAGGGGAAGTTGGTGGAGGCCAAGAGGACAGGCATAATAGACAAGAGTGAGAACATGTAGATAGGAAACATGAAATAGTAGTTTAAAGGATATTATTCAGTATAATCATGCACTATTATAAGGTAAGATGAAAAGCAGCTTAAAGGAATAGTTCAGCATTTTGAGTATATGTCCTCTTTGCTATTGTTATTGGTTCTTGGTGAATGATAGGTGTGGAGATAGATTGTGCTTTCATATCTGTCTGTACAGTATGAACTTGAAGCCAGCAGCCTATTAGCTAGACATTAAGCCTGAAGTGTAAATAAGGCAACTTTTAGGGGGGTTTCATATGGAGCAATGCGATTGACTATTTCTTTAGGGGGAAGAAACAGTTTCTCCCTGGTTTGTCTTCTGGTTGCCTAACAGTGACGACCAATGTTGCATTGTTCTTACTAGATTTGATAACATTTAAGGCCCCTGTATATTTTTTTTAAATGTGGGAGTGGCAGAAGGCTGCACATTCAGTCGACCAACTGAGCTTGAAAAAAGTGACGAAACTGGGAAAGTACAAACCAAACAATTTCTCACTGATCGCCATTGTTTGACCTGGGAAATACTTCTGCTTACGTTTTGTTCTAAGTGTTATCACTTGTGCGTGAGGGACATTGTTCCATTATCTGAATCCTCTCTAGGACTTTTGTGTGCTGTATATGCCACAGCCTGAATAAGACCTTAATTTTCTATTTTTATTTTTTAAAACATGAAATCATGAAAAAAGTTACACTATTACATCAGCTAACATATAACAAGTACACATGACATGACTGAGTTACATCTAGCAAGTATCTGGGCAGGCTTTAGCCACTTTCTAGTAAAATAGACAGGAATACTATTTTTTGGATTTTGTACCAATTGAACAAAGATAATATAAAAAGCTCAAGCAAGAGAGCTTTAAAAGTGCTGGCAAGTGAATATGGTTAACATTGGACAGGGCCGAGCTAGCTGTTTCTCTATGTTTTCAGTCTTTATGAAAGGCAAAGCTAAGCTAACCAGATGGCACTACCAACTTCATACTGAATGGAAAAATGAGAGCACAATTTTTCTTTCTAACTTTTAAAAACTAAAACATCATTTTATTTCAGACTATTCCTTTAATGAATGGATAATAATCACATATAGGCTACACATTCAGCATGCAGTACATGAAAACACAATTACAGTTAAAGATGATGTGAGTAAAATGGATGAGTAGGATTTATGAACTGCCTAAGAGCTTACCGCAAATGAGTTAGCATTGTTGTTATCTTGGATGTCATACAGCATCACAGGGCTTCTGGAGCACTGTCCACGATGGTCAGCCTCCATTCTCACAAACTGTAAAACAAATATGATAAATCAGCAAGGGTATTTCAAAATAAAGCGTTTCTCTCGAGTTCACTCCATCTATCATTAGACATAAATATTTTCATACCTCAGTCACAGGTTGCATTTTCAATGACTACCTAGCAGAAGTATTTGACATAAAGGGTAACATGGGAAACCTGTAAGTACTCAAGTTCCTAAATAAATCTCACATCCAACAGCATCCAAGTTATCAGAAGGAAAAGAACAATGTAAAACAAATGACATGCAGCCAAGTGCTATATTTATGAAGAGAAAGGAGGTTTTGCATTTCCAAACCTGGAAATGCAAGCACAAAAGTTTTAGAGCTTTGAAACTTCCAATAAACACTGAAAACTCTCTAAACGTCTGAGTGTTATTAGGGCACACACAACAACATGCAAACCTACAACCTCCAGCTATGCAACAAGTTTAATGTGTGTCTGTCTCCAAATAACCAGCATGTGTATCCCTCTAAGGGGCTCAGATCAACCTCAGTCAAAATATAGTTAGTCAAGGATTTCACAATAAAGTGTCAGCTTCAGTGACCCATTGAACGTTTATTTTGGGATAAAACTGTGCTGTCAAAGCCAATGTTTCACAGTGAGCCTGAGATGCAACACCGCAAACCATGCAGAAGATACCTCTGCAGGGCTATGTCGCCTGCTGCCTGGGGTTGAGCGACCAATGTCCCCCTCTGCACCTTCCCCCTCAGTCAACTCCTTCTCCCCCCTCAGCCAGCCCTCCAACACAGGCCCTCCACAGGGACTCATGCTGCGTGACAGATGGGGGGAGGCAGGGAAGAGCATGAAGTCCTCCCCCTGAGGTGGGGTGAATGTAACAAAAGGAGTGGTTGAGCTGGGTCTTGGTGGGTAAGGTGGAGGAAGAGGGGAGGCAGCTGGGGAAGCCATGGGGGAGATGCAGTAAGGACTGCCAGTGATTGGAGGAACAGGGCTGGCAGAAAAGGGTGGGGGCAGGTACTCGCCACATCGGTAGGAAACACTGGGCAGCGGTGGCAGGGGAGGGGTGGGAGCAGCTGGAGGGCTCCCTCCTCCCACAGTCAGGGAGATCCACTCTGAGGACACAGCATGGACCTCAGGGGACACGGAGCGACGAGGGGAGCGAGGGAGGGGCAGAGGGGAGGTGGTAAGATGATTACGATACAGCTTTTAAGAGAACCAGGAACATAGGAGGAAGATGGATATGGAAACAAGAAGAGGAGGAGATCAGAAATGAAAAGAAAAGGAAAGGAATGATAACTAGACATTTTTTGATAAAAAAAAAAAGGAATTGAAGTTGAACATGGAAAAGTATTAAAAACTGTGGATCAAGTCTTTACTACTTCAAAAAGTATTCCATTATTGATCTATCTGCAAAGCTCAGAGTCCTTACCTGAGGAGAAGCATTGGTGCTACGCTGTGGTGATTGGCTAACAGGAGGGTCAGGATACTCCAACCCATTTTTGACACGGGGTCTTCTGTGTACTTCTACGTAAGTGACCGGGAAGATGCCTTGGCGGTTGGTGCCGGATATTTTGCCTTCATACCAGTTTTCATCAACTCTGCGAATCAGTGTTATCCTTTCTCCCTGTAGTCATATATTTTGAACATAGAAAATATTGTTAAAAATCCATAATTGGTTAAATGACACATATGTAGATAACTTACAGCTGCAAACAAATGAATGTTCATCAGTTTGTTCATTTGTAATTCTCTCTCCAAACCTTTCTGAAGGACATTTCCACCACTGTGTCCCCTGTAAAGTTGAAGCGGGCGGCAGCCTCTCCATATTCCAGCACCTGAACTGGAACAATTTTCTTTGGTTGGGCTTTCTCTGTGGGAGGAAGCAGCTGTAGCAGGAGAATTATAAATAAAAAAACGAAATAAGTAGGATAACAAAAGTTGAATCACGCTGCAACATAATGCACATTCATCTATACATAAACATGAAACATACAAATGGAAATGATAAACTGAAAAAAGACATCTCAATAACAGACAGAAATCACAAACCTCAACATAGTTTTGAGGGAAAATTCCAACTCGTCCATGATGTTCTCCTTCATACCAGTTTTGATCCACCTGTCGAATGATGTATACAATGTCTCCCTTTTGAAATGGTAATTCCCTACAAATGTTCAGAAGAGACAAGTTATTCAAATTCAAATGAATATATAAAAAACAACTAAATAATTTTTAAGTTTTATAATATGTGATTGTAATTGTATTATTTTTAATTAGGTCAGACATTTCTAACCCAACCTGAAAGTGAACTTCAAACATGTAGATGAACAGATAGGTCGACATATAGATGAGATAATCCCATTTTTCACACCTACACATACAAACAAATTATGATTATATCGGCTTACTTTAAACTTTCAGCTCTGAAGTCAAAGCGAGCCATGGCTGGAGTTCTCTGTAAATAAAAAGATAATTGGGTGATTTTGTTTAATGTGTACGAAAAAAGCTTCCAAAATTCATTGTGAATAGCAAATCTGTGTCCCGCCTGAGCATAAATAATAATGCAAAGACAGGAATGAAGTACTTGTGACTGACTAGGTTGCATTAATTACCTGGTTAAATAAAAAAATAAAAACACATGACCATTGGAGCATGTCAATTGAAAAATGACAACGGGATAATTACTGTTAAACTGTCCTGCAAAGACAGCAGACACACCTTCGACCTAAACAAGATTTGAATTTAGTGACATTTATATTGTTTAAAATGCAAATGGACATTAACATTGATGGACTCAATAACACTTTTCTCCTCTGGATTATCTGTTTCAGCAGAAATCCTGTCGACAAACCCATTATCCCCTAACAATGTTCTATATAAACCCCAAATCATTTACTGTCCTTGTTCCTGCTTACATAAGGATAAGAAACTGTCCTCTATTGTACCTCTATGCCTGATTTCCTCTTCTCTGTGTTATCTGTGATGTTGAGCAGGTCTCCAAAGCGCTCGTTGGTGATGAACTGGTGGTGTGTTGGGACAATGCCTGTATGTCGCCTCGATGCTGTGTCAGCCTCTTCCTGTTCCCGCTTCAGTCTCCGCTGCTCCTCCAAGATTTTCTGCCAGGAAACCACACTGAACTGTTTGTCCCCTCCAGATATGGGTCCATTCTACTCTTTTACACTTTCATGTTATGTATAATAGATGAGTTTCTTTTTCACAACACAGGTCTCTTTGATAAAGCATTGTCAGCAAAGGTGTAATTCATCAATGAAATTTACCTCCTTGTCCCCATGTCGCCTTCGCAATACTTCATCTTGGCTTTCCCCTGGAGTTGGTGACAAGTCTAACAAAGAAACAGAAAAGGGATTCAGCTGTGAGGACTTTTCATTGACATCATTGAGACAAATCTCAAACAAAAACAATCCTTTAAATATAAGGTGATGGTACTGTCCTTACATACAATGATTAGAATCATAAAAATAAACAACAAATACAACCATGCATGCTTTAAAAGAACACCATTATCTCTGCAATACTAAAAAGCACACACGCACATCCAAAAGCCAAATGTATTCCTGCATGCAAATGATCACGGGATGATCCAATGTGTTTTCCATGAGAAAACAAATGCAGAACAATAACATGAAACTTCCTGTATCTTGGCCAAGAAATGACAAATATAATGTTTTACTGACCAACCAGTATCCATTAGTTTACTGTAGTTTCATTTCAATATTAAGATATCATAGCTTACTTTCCTCCTCATCACTATGACAGTTGTTTCATTATGTGTCCCAGTAGGACCATGGGAAACAACTACCAATGCTTTAAGATTTTTTTGGCTGTTATATAAAATAAATCAGAGTTTGTAAAAAACTGTGTTGCTTAAGAAACCTTTCATAGTCAAAGAATGAAAGATGGCTGATGTAAACTTTTTGCAAAACAGAAAAAAAAACAGATATAGACATAGTGAGACATCAATTTGAGAGAGTGTATGCAATGTTATACTGAAAAAACAGACATATGCTGGGATCATATTTAAATGTAAGTCTCTCAACCAGAGCCAATGCTGTGTTAAGACAAGGGTTGAAAATCAATTATGGAACCTTTATTTTTCTTACATCTTTATGATGTAAATGACAGATTTGGTCTGTATGGATGCAATGTTTACGCATGCTCTGAAACTCTTGCATACAACTCAAATGTGATGTCACTAGGAGATAGACAGTATATACATTACCAAAAGGCCCCTGAACCTCCTACAGTCTCTGAAGTGTTTGATGCATTTGTTGGACCATACTCATTCAAAGAGAAAAAAGGAAGTGCACCAAACAGCACACTCAGAATATGATGGAGGCTTCTCTGTCACTTGTAAACACACCAAACAGACTACAGATGGAGGGTGGCGGTGTGGCTTTGTGGAGAGAAGGTAGAAAGAGTTGAGATAAATGAGTACAGAGGGAGAAGAGAGGAGGGTGACAGTGGTGAATGGATGGAAATAGCCACCTCTGCGGTGAGATGCCAGCAGCTGCAGTAGGTTCCCGTTGGTGTCCAAGCCGTGCCCGTTACTCAGTTGGTCAGTGTTGCTTCCCTCTGTGCTATTCAGCCTGTCCAGGACCTCCAGGGAGGACAGGCGCTGAGGGATCAAAGGTCTGAGCTCAGGAGACAAAGTAGAAGGCCTCTGGACACCCATTGGCACTTTGGTGGCAAGAGTCTTCCGAGTTTGGTGGGACTGCAAGTTCTTGCGTAACTTAAAGGGAGCAGGGCCCATGAGGAAGAGGTTACCAGGCAGCGTTGTCCTCTTCTCCAAAGGTCGAGGCCTCTCTTGTTGTGTCATGGCTTGCTGCCTCTCATGCCTGAGGATGGTGGTGAAGCGGGTGTAGGAGGCTGGGCAAGGGCCTTTGCATTTGCTGGGTTTGAGCAGGAGTTGATGATTCAGGTGGTCCAGTAGGTGGTGGTGGTGGTGGTGGATGTAGTTGTGTTGCTGAGGGGATTCTGCAAGCAGTGCTGACGGACTAGTAGATCCACTAATATTTTGGCCAATATGCTCTAGAGAACTTTTACTGAAGATCTGCTCAACCTCAGTCTCAGTGTTAAATGGGGACTCAGTCCTTAAATTGTGTACATCCAGTGAGGAGGGTGCAGCCTCCTCCACAGAGCCCTCTGCCTCCACTGGGGAGCAGGCGACTGTCTGGGTGTTGTCTGCCGCCAAAAGAGACTCCGCTGACACTGCAGACACCATGTAAAAGTGGACAGGGTTGTGGTTGTGGCTGGAGTGCAGGGTGGGCAGAGAGGAGGAGCGGCAGGGTGCCGGGCTTGACTGCTGGATGATCATTTCAAACTCACTGACCCGTGACGACACTGAATCCCGCGGAATGTTACCCCCGCCATCTGCTTCTGACCTTTCACCCCTCTCTGCCTTTGCCTTCTCAAAAAGAGAGGTAAGGCTGCGGACACTGCCCTGGGGGCTGCAGCCAGTTGAGCTGGGCTGCTGGATGTAATGCATGGATCTATAAAGGCTGGAAAACTCTGATGCACTTCTCCTAATTGAGTGGGAAACATTTGCACACCCAGTAACACAGGACATAGAGTCCAAAAGGTGTCCACCATCCCTTTCTTCCGATCCAACACAGTCTGTGATATATTGCCCAGTGTACAGATCCTCACAGCTGTGGGCCTTTGGGTGCCTGACAGATGCAGTCCTACTTTCCTGACTGTCACCACTGGGTGGCAGCAGCTTGGGCTTGAACTTTGAGGGCAGAATTTGGGGTATGCAGGCTTTGGCAGCAGATAGAGGTGTCATACTTTTACACTGGTTACCTATTGCATTACTGGCAAGAACTGACCTACTATTTACAGAGGAGCAGGGTGAAATTATGTAGCCATTCCCACCTTTATGATCCACTGGCAAGCATGCAGGACAACAGAATAAACAACATATTAGATTGCAGTGGTCACAGGTTCACATCCAAAAACAGAGTCAGGCACATTTTTGTCATGGTTCCATCAAAAAAGAATGAGAAGGGGAAGTAGACTTGATGCATTGTGTATCAAGTAATAAATGGCAACTATAAACATATGGCATGGTTCTGCAGTGAATAGTAATGTTTAAAAAAAAATGTAAATAGGTCAAATGTTTTATCTAACATACTTGCATTATAAAAGTTAGATAACAAGATAAACATAAAGTACTGAAGCATCATGGGATAGTATGTAATGTAAGGGGTCATAAAGGAATTTGTTACACCGACAGCAGTGTCAGTATGATTCTAAAACAGAAATACATTTTTTATTAATCTTAGGGCTGACATTTTCTCCCACATGGCTGTTTCCTGTCCTGCTTTTGCCTCCTGCATATAGTCTTCTCCTTAATTTGTAGCTAAGAGGGATAGGGCTGAAGTTATATGTCACCCCTGTTAAACTACAGCTTTGACACGAGGTTGTCGATAATAAATGTATCCTGAGTCGAGCTGCCCCGTAAAGCCTGACTACTAAAAAAACCCCACAGTGAAATACTTTCACTGAGTCACTGGCTATAGTGGCCTTTTGATAGCATGGAAATTCAAAATGACAGCACATTTTCACATGCTATGACAGACTTCTGCAGCACGAGAAACCCATCAGTCAATCAACCTATCAAGATTGACTTAAGAATCATATAAAATACAACCACAGGGAAATGAAATTCCACTTTGGTATTAGACAAAAGAGACAGTTATCAGTAGGATTTTAGAATGCATAGTTATAATGATTATCATGTCTGTGTGATGTCACATTCATGTCTATGAAAAACACAAATAAAATACAATAAGGAAGTAACCAAGGTTGTATCTACAGCATATGGCATGTCAAAGGACCTGGCTCCTGAAAATCCCAGAGGCTTGTTTCTTTAGAACACAAAGATTGAAACAGATGATTTTTATTTCATGAGCACAAGACAGCAACACATGATAAAGTGTTTGGTTTCTGGTGCTCGGGTCTTTCTTTGAAACAGAGGCTAATAAAGGAGCATGCTAGTCAGTTGACTAGACTGCCAAATCCATTCACTGCACGGCTCCACAAGTTAAGGCTAAAATGAATATCCTGATCTTTATCCCAACCTCTCATACATGTTTCTATTTATTCAATGTATTATTGTGGAACTGTAATAAACTCTGAAAAGCTTCTCAAGTGGTATCTAATGTACATCTTGCCAGATTGAATGTAATGACATTACATTGTGGATCACACTGTTCCTACTTTTCTCTACATGATGTGTCCTCTGTCCTTCATTCCAGCCTCTGGCCTCACAATGACAGCTGACTTCCTCATGCATACCCACCCTCTGTGTCCCTCCTGTTTATCTCACCCCTGTCTGGCTGAGTTTTGAAGAGCAGAGCTCTGTTTATCTCGCTTGTCTCTCCTTATACATTCCCTCTGCCTGGCACTCTAACACTCTGGAGTCTTGCCCTAAGCCTGCCTAGCGACTGGCAGCTCACAACTGGAGCAAGAAGGGGAAAATCCCCAAGGTTATCTTTTAGCCACTTAGCAAGTCCACCTCACTCACATGAGTTTTCAAAGCAGAAGGTAAAACACACTGATGGAAACATTCATCGATAAATCAACCGCTTCTGTGAATGCCATGCATGCTGCAATGTGATTGGTCAATGCTGTGAGGAAAAAAGAAAATGTGAGGGGTTTCAACAGAAAGGTAAACTGAAACACATGTGTCCCTGCCTGACAAAGCTCAAACATCAGTGTCTGTAACTCATTGGCTATGTCTCATTAGGGAAGGCTTTAGAGTCTGGCCACAACATCCACAGCCATAAAACATACACACACATGCCATTTTATGGCCGTATGTAAAATGGCTTGCATCCTACCTTTAGATGAAGAGGAGCTGCCAGGACGCTTGTTTAAAGCCCTTAGACCTTGTAAGGGAATGTCGCCACCCTCCAGGACACTCTTGTAAACATGGCGGTCACATTCTGGAGCCCCAGAATCGCTTGTAGATGATCCATCCACCTCGCTGCGTCCAGACTTGCTCGAGGAGCTAGATGGCAGACAGAAATGCAAAAAGCTAATTAAAAACAGTCAAATCATTCAGAGGAGTTGTGTTACGTGTTTTATGACAAAAAGGGGTGGGCCATCTGGGTAACGAGCTGTTGTATGGTTCTTATTTAATATATGGTTAAGTAGTTCCTGTGTTCAGAGACAGCTGAACCTAAGGAGAAACTACAGCATTTAGGGGCTGCTTCTAAGAAGGCCATAGCTACACATATCTTGGCATTCCAGATAGGCCAAAAGGACAGAATTCTATAAATATTCTCTGAACATTCCCACATGGTGCATCAGCCCCTGCCATGTCGCTGTTTAACTCTCAGGTTTACTATCTTTTACATTCCATGTGTTACACATGCTGCTCCTCTATTTGCTTACAGATGGCTAAGGAATCATCTGAAATCAAACAGCGCTAAAATAAGGGAATTAAAACCATGTTGGCTCTACATTGCTTGATAGGATTCACAAAAAAACGATGTAGTATTTTGATGTACAGGATAATCGCAAGACTGAAGACAATATCTTGGAAATCAAGAATAACTATATTGTTAACGAAAAAAAAGAAGAAGCTTAAAACATTGTAATAACTTCCTTGGAATGATTATGAATCCCTTCAGATAGCCTACTATTATATTATTATATCATAATATTAAATCTATTAGTATCAATGTTGTATTTACTACAGTAAAATTGTAGCTGCCAATCATATTTCAAGAGGTAATTATGAGGCATGCTCCAAATTGTTCCAAAGTTTACTTACAAGTTAATTAATTTATCACAGGCTACACTGGCACAACAATTTTGGATTGATAACAAGCCCACAAGACGAAGAAGTTCCTGCCCAGAATATATATGTGCCTTGAAGGAAGTCAGTGTATGGCCTGAGGTTTCCTTTGAAAAGTTTTGGATGAGTATACCTCCACCTATCAGGGCTTTTCTATCAAAAGTGACAACACAATCCAGCCTGAAAAAAGGCTAGATTGTGATTGTTACCTCTATTCATATACTGGCCAAGATAATATAATGACTACAGCAGATGGAAGGCAAAGGCTTGTAGCACTGTCTCTCTTCCTGAATTTCTGACATTTAATTGCAAAAACAGAAATAGAAGAGGTCACGCTCATCAGACAAAAACACAAAAGATCAAGGGCTTGGTAGGCTTTACTTTAACATCAGCTGGAATCCTCTTTCATAATCCAGTTGCTTGTCATAGCTCTGTACACACACCCATTCAGAAGGAGATAACGGTTTTTTAGGTTATGTGGCAGCTGGGTGAGCTCCCTCTGTCCCAGGTTGCTGTCTTTAAATAAATGACCACATAGCACCTATGTCTACATACAACAACCACACAACCCTGGGAGTAACACAAATAAAATACAGAGGACACACTGTTCTTGTAGCTTTCTGCCTTATTAACAGGATCTCCTCAGGAAGCAGGAGTGCCCCTGCTGTAGCTGGAGAAGCTGTACAGGGTGGAGAGATCTCTCACTTACATTTATAACATGCCTTAAATAACCATCAACATCCCTGAAGGAGAAAGAAGAAATCAAGCACAAGTTTTTGAATAAGCAGGAAAGGCATGAACTTACTACTGCTGCAGGTCGGAGGCTGTTTCCAGGGGGCTGAAAGAGGGGGAACTCTGCAACAAACCAAACAAAGAAGTCATTGATAGATCCACAGGAAGGTCTCCTCCAGCTAGAACAGAGACAGGAGCATTAGCTATGGCCAGATTCTCTCTTCTATTCCTCTCTGTCGTTCACTTGCTCTTGGTTTTGTCTCAACAACCCAGAGTTCTTAGCTTCTCTGGACTGGGCTTGGCATGGAGGAGTAAGCGTGTGCTTGGCCTGCATGCAAGTTGGAGAAAACAAGCGGCAGTGAGGAGAGTCGAGGGGGGGTGGGTGGGGTGGGGGGGGGGGAGTGGGCGGGGAGGCGTGTGTGGTCAGAGGGCGCCCACGCGGGGAGGGGGCTGTCACAGGCTCAGCCAATGAGCTGTTGTTTCCCAGTGAAGCCGTTTCTTTTGTCTGGTATTGAGTCACTCTCATTACCACTGGACCAGACTGGGGGACAATTAACCAGCTGGTGGTGCAAACAGGCCAAATTACACACAGACACACACATACACTCTCATACACACATTCAATACTCACACCAAAGGAGTCAAAATGAGAAATAAATGCTTACAGGTATGTAAATAATTAAGTTTGAATGAACCTTTTCTTTGTGAAAACATGAATAATAACAATGTTATAAAGACAAACAAAGATTGAGCAAAAACAGACATAAATCAATCAATAAGCTGTGAACCTATGTGTCAAGGACATCAGAAGGAAACGCAGTATTTATTTAGGAGCAGAAGTTATCTCCAAAACATGCAGTGTTGAGGCACCCGCAAGCATCTGAAATTGTTCAAAGCAATCTAATTTTAGCCCACTGTTTCTGTTGCTCTCTTCTTTTTGGACGTCACAGTGGGTAAAAATAACAGACATGACATGAGAACTATGAATGAGAGCGCAAGTGTTGTTTGCAAATACGATTGCACAATCCCCACCCCAGCCACCCTGGCCCTGCTGTTAATACCACATCCACTTCCCCACAGCGTGGCCAAGCCTCTGATTCCAACACCAATGACCAGACAAGGAGCATTCTTAACAGCTCATTTGCCACAACATGCCTTTCCCCTGGGTTGCCAGGGCAGATGATCATTAATAACCCTTCAAAATAAATGCCTATCTTTATAAGAACAGCACATCAGGCTAGCAGGTGTATAGTCTGATCTATTTTTAAAGCCAAATGTTCCATGTCAACTCAGGGAACATGCAGGTGTTATCCAATAATCTGAATTTTCTTACTCTACAACGTCTTATGTCAAGCTCAAAATTGAAAAAAAGAGGGAAACAGTGTCCTCTGACACCCAAAGATACTGGTAATTGGGCTTACACTTGTACAATATCTGAGAAAAGTCAACAGGAAACAAGCATGGAGACTAAAGGAGTAAAGGAATGTCTCTTACTTCTTTACAACATGCCCGATTAGTGTCAGCTGATGTGAGCTTTTCTTAACATAAATGGGCAAAAAACATGTGTTTCAAATAATGCCTTTACCAATACAACTAAATACCACATTGCAATTGATATTCAGCGTAAGCAGTGACGGGGAAACATAAAAGCGGTATTAGAGAGTGTAGAAGAGTGCTTAAAGTCCTCTGACTGTTCAGTAAAGGTGTGAAATTTGGAGAGCTGTATATGGACATGAATGAAGGCCTTGTGAGTCACTGGAACACTGATGACAATGTTTCTGCAGAATTTTCTGTACATGTTTCCTAACAGGTGACCCGCCCCCCCCGGTTACTCAGAGCTCTGGCTCCTGTGTGGCCATCCATATTTAAAATAGCAATCATGAGTAGGTCATGGTAACATGAATCTCATTCTTTCCAGCAACTTATTTGTGTTGATATGTACTCATGAAAACCAACAGCCCCCCAGTGTACAAGGCTGGCTATAGCTGTGTGCTTCTCATCTCCACTTAATGCTTAAAGGTAAAGGTTATAACAGAGGTTAAATATGAAAGACAATGAGCTGGTGAGCTTACAGAGTTGCCTCCTTTAGAATATGTCAGGTGGCAGGGGGAGGCTCGATGTATCTCAGCGCTGATACAGTGTGGCAACAGCCCCCTCGTCAGCATATGCTCAACAGATGGAGTCACACTGTCGGTTGAAGGGGGCCTAAATGCTTTTCCTGACCATAGTTATGTGCGGAATTTCAGTTGTAGCTAGCTATCTATATGGATGAGCTTCTGTTAAACTGGAGCACCCAATGTGTTTCCAGACTCTCCTTTAACTTAGAACTTGTTGACATTTATACAGATGACCATTACTGTGATTGGACACAGGACTTGCTTTATCCAATGGCTATTAGGTGACATGAGGTGAAGAGTAATGACTTGACATGACAGCCTCAGGAAGTAGGAAAAATAGAATGAATTCAAAATGTAATTGATAACTATTTGAATGGGTTTGATCCAAAAACATGAGCTCCACTGTTTGTTTTCACATCTTTGTGAACAAAGTCACCTTTACTGTTCAAATAATAATAATAATCATAAAAATAATAATAACAACTTTTATTATCATACTTGATTGTAAAATTGATTGTGGTACTCTGCAGCAACTATTAGGAATGTATTTAAAAGAAAACAGCTAACAGAACAATAGCCAGGAGAGCCTTCTCTTTACCCCTGAACATTGTTGTTTTTGCATACTTCCAACCCTATCTCAAAATGAGTAATAACATGTCAATCAAACTCCTATGAGCCAGTGTGTCTGGCTGGACCTTAAGGTCAAATGCTGCGCATACCAGGTGCAGCTTTAGAAGTGACTTTGACATTAAACAGGAGCCAGTCATCAAGCCAAGTTCATCTGGCAATCATCCAGGCTGCCATGAGACAGAGTGGGCTGCCTCCACTGCTAAACCTCCTCCACATATACACTAACCTGGAACCGGAGACTCTGCCCCTGTGTCTGCTTGATGCTAGGACATGACCTCACTGTGTGATCCAGGGTGTGGTGATGTGGCTCTGCCTGACAGATAGGGGATATCCAACATCTGTTTGGGGGCAGCCAGGGCTATGCTTAACTTTTACCAACCTAGCCCCAAGACATGGATTTGATCCAACTCGAATTTACACACCACATTCCTGAACCTATTTTGACATTTTGATAATTAAGGAGTGACTTCTGGATGATTCACCCAGTACAAGCGTTTGGTTCAGTGTATGGTAGATAGAAGGCTGCGCATCAAAATTAACGAGTATTCCTCTTGCATGTTGAGTTGACGACACAAATACTTTAAAAGAGTATATTTTATTTGCACTCTTTTATGTCAGCCTTTGTTGACATGTTGCTGTCATATAACATTATATTGATGACAAAGGCTGTTTTTTAAAGTCAGTGTTAATTAATCAATTCATACACATTAACACGCCACTGACACAGCAGCAGGACAATTTGGGGTTAACTTTCTTGCCCAAGGAACCCCGACCTTCCAGTTGAGAGACGACCGACTCTACTATTGAGCTCATATCAGTCACTTTGAGTATTATTTCTGAAATGTAAAAGGTGGAAGCCACAGCTAATGTTAGAGGTTGGGCATTTTTTCTTTAGCTGATTGGAATCCATCAGCCTTAAAGAAACAAAAACATTGCTAGAAAGATTTACTTTTGGAAAGGAAAAACATGGATCTTATCTGATCATTTCAGACAGTATTGGCTAAAGTATCTTTTCAATTATATGATGTGATGATGAGATATGACAGTAGCTGTAAATAATACATTTAAAGTAAAAGAAAAGTAGTGATGGAAAAATAGGGATCCATGAAAGTGAATTTGTTCACATTATGTAATGCTCACACATGCAGTCACATAACTTATTCTCTCTGGGATCAATAAAAAAAGTCTAATTTTGCAAGCTAAAGCGGACGTAGTAATTGGAGTAGTCTTTATAGACAGACACTTTGTTTAGCATTTGTTTTAACATAAACGTTATCACATGCATTAAAATACAATATGCTGTCACTTTAAAGACAGCAACCACTTACCGCTTTGTCAAACTCCATCTCTGAAAAGAATTTATACCAAGGCTCATTCTCTAAATCTACATCTTCTGGACTTACATCCTGAGTCTAGGGCATGGTAACAAGAAAAGGAGGGAAAGACAAAGAGAAAACAATTCAGACAGCACAGAATATACACAAAAAGGGACATTATTGGCTGAGCCAATGTTTGCACCAAATTCCAGCAATTATCTTCAATTCTTAAACTGTTCTCTTTGATGTATAGCACTCTGTACGATGAATGTAAAGCTACCACTGATAGCTAAACTTAGCATCAAGTCTATTATGGGGAAACAGCTAGCCTGGCCCTGTCAAAAAGTCACCAAATCCACTAATTTGCAACAGTCAGGATCCCAAATTTAAATTATTGCATCTGTTTTAACTCTAAATACTGTTGTAGTCACCAGCAGGTTGCTAGATTCGAGTCCAGGAAGTCTTTTTTCCATCCACTTAAGGTTCCTTGTACACTTACATTTTTGTATAAATTCAACAAAAGTGTTGGTTTAAGTGATTGAACATAAGATCAGCTGGCAAGCCAATGCTGTCACAAGTTCAGCTGTTCTACTAAGCGTCTGATCTTTGTGCCACCATTTAGGCTAAGTAGATACTGGAGCCAATACTAAATATTACAGATTCAGGGCTGGTATCAAGTTTCCCATCTTACTTTAGAAAGAAATTTAATTCCTGAAGTGTAAAGGTTACAAATACTGTCTGATATAGAGAGAGAGTGAGAGAGAGAGAGAGAGAGAGAGAGAGAGAGAGAGAGAGAGAGAGAGATATATATATCAGACAGTATTTGTAACCTTTACATATATATAAAAATGTTTCAATGTACATTTTTGGATGGGGGTGTTAAAAAAGCATACCCTAGCCCATTGGGAAAGTCTTCTCCAAAAAGTGCCTTTTAATGTGTTGGTTTCCTTTAATTCAATCAGAAATCATTGGCTAATGATGACCACCAAAAATATCCAAACCACTTTCAGAAAAAAATGTAATAATCATTTTAAGAAGTATGTATTTGGAGGATCAAAGTTGGTAAGAACCACAGTGGACCTCAAATATAAAATAAACAGCTACATCATGAAGAGCACCAGTCCATTATAACTGGGCTGGTAATTGAAAACAACAGAGTCCATTATTTTACAACGGCCCCAGGATGAACTGGGGACAACTCTCTATAATGAGAGTATTCATTGTCACTGGGATCAAGCCAGATCTCAGCTAACAACACCGCAAAGCATGATGTAACTGAGCGTCAGAAAAACAGTAATTACAGGATCAATTAACAACTTTACTGCTGTAATAAACATCTCCATGTCCTCTTATGTAAGATGAAAAAAGCTTGATAACCCTAAGGATACATGTTTTGTGTCAGGGATCCTCTCGCACCATGCACATTTTGCCAAATAAAATAACCTCAAATTAGAGACAAGAAGACAATGGTTCTCCTGGTAAGAGATGCCATGATATCATGATATCCTCTTCCCAACAGTATCATCTGTCACAACAACAAGACACCCTGAAGGAAGGCGATGCATGTTGACTCAGGAAGCATGTATATCATCTTCTGTCAGTAAAGCTGCCACATGCAAGCTTCAGTACATAGATGGTGGTTGTTTGAGGTTGTGGATGACGAGTGGAGTGAGGAATAGCTTCCACGACATGTACACAGAAACACGGACAGATAGAATGAGAGAGAGAGAAAAATAGAGAGAGAGAGACAAGTAAAACAGACAAACAGGCAGGCTGCTAGCTTACTGTTCTCTCCAGCTTCAGCACAGACGATTTCCCCGGCTCATACTCAAAGATGCTCTTGGGCTCGGCGCGATACCTCCTGGTGTCTACCTTTTTATCTGGAGGCTCCCACTCGTTTCTGAGGAGAGGCAGTTTATCAGGGAGGGGTGGGGTGTAGGATGGAAGAGGGCCAATCTTCATCAAGAAGTCTCCATGGCAACCAGAATAGGCTGGTATGTTTTTTTTTTTTTTCTCCCATTTTTAACATGATGGCTGCCCTTATTATCCCTGCTAACTGTCGCCCTGTCCCTCTCTTCCTCTAACAATGGTTTGACATACAATTGGATTTACGCGTCCCTTATTAGGTTATTCCCTTATGTAAACCAGATGTGACCTGGTGACAATACACAGAGCACAGCATTTCCAGGAAGAATCTCTTCATACAAAACCAACACTAAGTTGTCTCTAAAATCATTCATTCATCATGCGGTTTAAGGGATGCATCCATTCATACAATGACCGCTGAGTAAAAAGCAAGGTCAATCCACCTTATGTCATCTGCAGCTAGTGGGCAACAGTTTATCCCCCTTCACCTGTCCTCTTTCATCACTCTATCACTCATTTCTCTGAACATAGATCACCCCATGTCAGTGCTGACATGTGTCAAAGGGCTGAGTCTAGGAACCAAACCTTAGATTAGCAAAAGAAGGAATATCCTTATGTTCAGTTGTGCAGTCATGTTTAGCTACACTTACTAGAAATTTAAATAAAGACCAGTAATATCTGTTCAACAGAGACACAAAACGCAACTTAATATCATAGTGTCACTGTCAAGTTACTGTTTTATAATCTGTGAAACTTGCATTTTAATATAAGACAATCTTGTCAGAAAAACATATTTATTCATGAGGAAATCTGTAGTTGTCTGAGTTGTAAAAAGCTCCTTTCTACATTTGCAAACTGGCACAGTGCTGTTCTTTTCGAGATATATCTAAAAGGGAATTACATACTGTAAGGTTTTTAGCAGATGGAGTATAGACAGACCTTTTGGCAGAAGGTTTAAGGGAAGAGGATCTTGTTGGCACAGGCATCGACCGGCCTCTTGAATCAACTTCGATGTCACTTTTTGAGCGTGGGACGGATTTTACTGCAACAAAAAGAAACAGAAACATTGACAGACATTAACAGCCTGATACTTAACTGCATTTATGCATCATTTAAATATTTCCTACATTGAAGTGTAAAACATGCATTAAGGGAGTGTTTATTTTGGATGAATCTCAATACTAATTGTGGATGATACACAATTTTTTTATGTAAATCTTGACTTCTGTACTTGAAGCAAAGCGAATTTAAAAATCCTACCATCTTTTAAGTAACCATAGGGGCTGGGACCATCATCTGAAAGAGACAACAACGATCAAAAAAATCTATCTATACTCTGTTACATTTTAAAGGTAATGAAAATAGAACATATCTAAATAATTCACAAGGCCCTTCCATTAAGCCAAGCATTATAGAGTCACCAAATACAATCAAAGTCTGTCAAATCAAAGCACTTTACAGGAAGCACTACTGAGCCAAAAAGGGATCCAAGCATGGATGAGCATCGAGGCACTGAATAAGTAATGCATGCAGAGTAAAAATGCCATAACAGTCACAACTACAATGATCTCTTTAAAAAAAAATTATGAATTCTGTAAGACAACATTTGCAAAATTATAACAAGGAAGTTAACATGTCAAGGTGTCTTGTTGTGCAACAAGAAAAAAAAGTTATCCTTTTGGCAAATGCTGCATACAAATCTTTCCTCCTTCCTTAGGGCCGGCTGACCTTAAAACCTAAGCATGAGCCTAAACCTAACCTTAACCAACTTGAAAACACTGGTGGATGAAGCTTGTGCAGCAGCAAGTAAGAAGGTCGTGGGCTGGCAGAAGGACTCTACAGAACAGGACTACAGCGGCATCATGTGGCCACTGTAGCAAACTACATCAGAAAAAACTGCTCATACTCTTTTATTTAAAAAAAATAATAATCAAATAATAGCATATTCAAAAATCAACAGTCTGAAGAATTCAGTTTTACATGATCAAGCGAAAAGAAAAAGGGCAATGAGTACGTCTGGTAAGTCTGAGTTCTATAGACACTAGGCTTTGTGCATTATCCTTGGAAACAAGTAAATCAATGTATCAAAGTTCTTTATATAAATTCATGTTTGTTCAGCTCTACCTGTTAAGAGGTTAATATAAATGATCATCTTAAAGGCCAGGGCAGGTAAAATCTATATGTAAACTTCAAAAATACTACTGACTTATTTTTTACCTCTTGTTGTATCACCTAATGCAAGCCTCTAGCTTAATGTGTGTGTGTGTGTGTGTGTGTGTGTGTGTGTGTGTGTGTGTGTGTGTGTGTGTGTGTGTGTGTGTGTGTGTGTGTGTGTGTGTGTGTGTGTATGTGAGTGTACTGCTCTGGTTACTCTGCTTGTTTGTTATCTATATTTTTTTATTGATGTTCTATTATTACTGTGTGATGTTTTTAATTTTGACCTGCCGAGGGACTGCAGATGTAAATTAGCTCTAAGCTAACTCTGGTACAATGCAATGCCAACATTTATGTTTAATATTGTACATGGTCACTTTACAAATAAAATACCCGAGTCCCACTGTCTGTGATGTTTTCAGAGTTTTCAGAGTCCTATCTTCAGGGCGCGGTCACACTGGTCATCTGTACCGTGCTGTACTTAAGCACGATTGGCGCCCCGCTGCGCCATTCCCATACTGGCCGGCACGGCCCGCCATCACACTACACAGGACTATCCATGCCTAAGCACGATTACCTCTTGTACATAACGTCGTTATACAACACATGCACGCTTTATGTCATTATGAAGTGTGCTCAGTTTACAAACAGGCGGACGAGAGAGAGAGAGAGAGAGAGAGAAAGAGAGAGAGAGGGAGAGGGAGAGAGAGAAGCGCAGTCGAGTCCGTGTCTGCACATCGGAGAACAACACAGAGAACATGACAGCTACTTCACGCGTATAAAAGTTGTTTAATTGAGGGACTAGAGAAAAGAAGAATAACATACTGTACTCACTGCTTAACTGTGTTTCTAGATCACGCTCATTTCAGGTAAATTTACATGCAGTGTGAAGATACGAGCATAATAAAGATCGCTAGCATTAGCATGCTAACACAACAACGCACCATGAGTTGTTTTGGTTTCATGCTGGTGCTCAAGAGCGACATCTGCTGGATCAAAAAATCGCATATTAAGTCTTTAACGTGAACTACAGTATTACATTTCTTTACTGTACTATTTATTATAAAATAATGTTTTGGGTTATATTTTATGACGTGTGTTGAAAAGAAAACCAATATATATATATATATATTTATAGTAGAGGGAACAATTAAAACAATTCTAACTGGAAATTTACACTCGAAAACACATGGTACCATAATGGATAATTTTTAAATTGCACCAACACCTGTTATTGAAGTAAGGTTTCTTTTGAAATTTGAGGTATTTCAGGATAATCCAAACATATGACAGAGCTTTTCAAAACTTTTCTGAAATGTCAAATAATACAGCAATTGAATCCTGCCATTGTATCTTGCATTTGTTGTTTTTTGGTATTGATCTAAGCTTTGTTTTTGAAGCACATTTTGCCTTTAACTGTATTTGTATAGACAATAAATCTGTTTTCACAGCTGACATTTTGACTTGTCATGGTAGGAAAGGGACCATTGTTACTGATAACACTGATAATGGCTCCTTTGTATTAAGGTGTCTCACTGAGTCCTGGCAGTGTTAGAGCAAGCATGCACAACTCCCTGACATCAAAACTCGATCAGCTTAATTGAATAAAGCATTAACAACCTGTTCTGTCCTACAGTGACATGTCAAAATTCCCTCTATGAAAAAGGTCCAGGAAATCCAAAAGCAATCTGATCTTCAAAATAGTCCAAATGAGCAAAAGTGAGTGGGATCAGGGAATCTGCACAAAGCCTCAAGTGTTTCTAACACAAATGAAAATATCATCTCTATGACATGGAACAGCAACCAGAAAAAAATGGAAAGCTTTTCAAACACTTTGGGCAACTTGAAGGTTGATCAAAGTATTTTGTTTGACTTTCTACTGTCATGTATAAATCCATGTTTAGGATTTCCCTCTCTTTTTTCACCTGTTGTGCCCCTTTGTGTTTGTCACATTTCTCTTCCTCATATGGAGCTTTACATCCTTGTTACTCTTCCTAGCCGATGTGATCATATCTTCTGCTTTTATTGTTTTCACCTTTGCCCTAATTCTCTAACCTGTCCCTGTTTGCCCCCTGAGTATTTAGTCTTGATCAAACAAACTGGCACTGAAAACAAGGGGAAACAAAAGACTAATCTGGGGCTAATCAGGGACAGGAGAAGGAATTAGGGCACAGGTGAAAACAATATGCAGGGAACACAAACACAGAGGCGTAACAGAAGAAACAAAGGAAGGAAAACAGTTACATACGAGGGGAGAGAGTAAAGCAGGAAATAATCATTTACCAGACAAATTCACATTTATTGGTTATCATGAGTTTATTCATGACAGCTACAGGATCAGGTATGGCAGATTAAACACGGCTAAAGTTTTAGAAAGGGTCCAGTATGTGGTTAATAAAACCGACAAGAGTGAGGTCACTGCCATTGGATACCTTTTGATCTCATCTGACTGTCTTTTTTCTCAGGGAAAATGTATGTGGGACGGTAAGGGTTTTCCTCAATAGGCTCTGAGCACAGTGATGAAGAGACAGAGCACATAGTAACATCAAACACAAACACATAAAGAAACACACATGGTTTGGACACCAAAAGATACAAATGACATGTGAAGAGAACATGATGTTCTTTTCTCTTACCAGGTATCCTGTGTATTTGTTTGAACATTGTCTTGTACCAGTCTTTGGACTTTTCAGTGTTCTGAAATAAAGAGGTGAAGCTTGTTAATTGATACAAAAAACTGAGGATGATGTCATAGATCACCTCCATGCTGTTGAAGCAGCCATGTTTTAGAAAATTAAATCAAAACTCTGAGTATGTCAGTCATGTGATAAAGACCTTTTCAGTTTCAGAAAGAAATCTGTTACTTTAGCTATGGTTCAGTCACTTATAATCCTTGTTTCACCCATGATGTTTGATTTGTTTTACTGTTAACTTTAGCCAATCTTTGTCTCGGTTGTTTCTCTTTTCTCTGTTCATTGGATGATTGCTGCGCTGTTGTTTTATTTTTCATGCTTTTTTAATAGGATTTTATTGTTGTGTATTTGACTGTTGGGATTTTTTTTTCTGTAAAGCACTTTATAAATAAACTTTATTATTATTATATTACTGTGAAGCTAACCAACTGTTTTTCAGTGTCCTATCTTTCCTTTGAGCCTGAAGAAACTGTCTGACATGCTGATCCATTAATCATCTTTTTTTCTGGCAGCAGCAATGTAAATTGTCTTTATTTTCAAACTGAAAACAATCTCCTTTAGGAGGAGTACCCGATTACTTAACCTAATGCCCCCCTTGATCTTCTTATCATTACCCCTTTAGCGGATTAGCTCTGCAGCTAGAGTGCTCTACTGGTCCATCACAGATTTTTACTATTGGCCTGGAATCAATTCCAACCTGAATCAATCAATCAAATAGCAAATATTCTTCATTTTAGTTCAAGCATTACTCTACTCAGCTAAATTCTATTCATCAAATTATTAAGAAAAAAAAAACATTCTGAAGCAACATTGCAAGTTCTGTTTTGTTCAAAGCGAACTTTCTGTGAGATCAAATTTCAATACTTCATACTGAACCCTGTTATCTTTACACTGAACACTGATCGGCCTTACAGGCACATAGGAAAGAGTTTTCAGGTGGGGAGAAGGGGATACATTTGATGTAAATGTTAGCAAAGAAACATTTGTATGTAATAAGAGTTGAAGTCAAAACAATAATTCCTGTTGGAAAAGCTTACTGCATTAAATTGATATAAATCAGTATAGCAGTATTAGTAAAATGTGTAGTAATAAAGTGAATTAATTTACTGAATTTAATACTAAAACTTCTAAAACTGTATATGACATAAGCGACCCACTTATTATACAAACAAAACAAGAAAACAGTATAAGTGAACAGTATTTACTACTGACCCGTACAGGAACAACGGGCTTGTTTAGAGGATTCAGGACAGGAGAGTGCAGTGACAGCCGCAGCCTCTTCCAGTCCATATCAGGGACTGGACTGACTGAGTCTCTTCCAGGATCAGGACTTTTGTCCCTTTCTGGTGATGGGTCTATCAAGAAAAAACATAAAGAGAAAAAAAAACAGAAAACCGTTAGACACACAAAATGTAAAGTTTGAATGTCAAATAACACTTCAAATGTTTTAGGTTAGGGAAATGGTGCAAAGGTCAGGCTTAGGTATGACATGTGATTGTTACTGTGCACGTTGTGATTTTACATTTAAACAGACGATTCATTTTCACATCACAGGATTTACTTTCTACCTCATTATTAAGTTAGATCAATTATTATAAAATAACTACAATATACACACTTGAATGGATATATATGTATGGTAACTTTTGCCTTACATTCATTCATAGAAAATACTTTTTAAAGATGCATTTTATCAGCAAAATATATAGAAAAGTAGAGATTATTTTTGTTAATATATTCCTTAATACATTTCTATAATTGTTATGTGTGATAGAAATGGAAAGTAATTTATGAAAATGCAGATCTCCAATCATGATTTAATTCTAAACCTGCACCGAGCAAAACAGAAAGATCAGCTGAGGTAGAATGACATAGAGAGGAAGTGAATCAGGCTGAGCATGATAAATCAAAACAAAGCAGTACAACAGAGAAATGAGTGTCTCTCTGCTCAGCCCTCCAATACACAACTCCAACACCTGATATACAAATATATACCAATGTTTTGTGAAGGCCTTTTGGCATCTCATAAGGATGCACAAGTTACTTTAGAGGCCGTTCCAGACAGACCGAGAGCAGTTAAGAAAGACGGTGATGCGTTCTGGTTCCTTTTCTTTTTCTGTTAATGTTGGCCTGCGGACTTATGACAGCAGGCTTCATACTACTGCACAGCCAATGACAGCCATTAAATCTGTATGAACAGACACCAAAGCACACTTCTTCTGGATTATGAGTGTTGGAGAGGATAAGTTTTGTTTTGGGTCCAGAAATTATTAAAAAAAAAAAATCATACTTCTTATGCCTATCAAACTAATTAACCTGTATGTCAAATATTAGTTTGTTTTTTAATGATTTTTTCTGTGACAGAATGGTGTAGAGGAAACAAAGGGAGAATTCTGATATTCTGACACCAACTCCCTGGCACTAACAATATTTGCAGCATATGACAACCACCTCAAAAGAAGTGAGATGTGTCAGCTGTCCAATAAGTGGAAGAAAATGGAAATCATAGAAATCTCAGTCTGGCACTCATGGTCAACTATGTGTTTTAAATGAAGGCTATAAAGATAGGATACATTCTGTAATGAGTCAAATACAGGGACAGTATCTACCTGCAGTTATTTCTTTGTGAACTGCAGGTAGATACTGGACTAAAAATATCTGAGGATTTATCTATATTCTCGACCCGGGATATGTTTGTTCACATCCTTTACCATACTCAGGCATGAACACATGACTCATTAACTGGATGAACATTTAGGAAAATAGGATAAGTTGGCCTTTCAATACCCATAACAGATGGTTCAGGAGAGGAACAAAAGGAAAATATAAATACATGACAAATATCAGTAGGAAGTCATCAAGACCCAAGTGCATACCTTCAAAGTGAGAGAAATGCTTTTGCTTCTCTGTTGAAATAGAAAGACAGACAAGTAGGACAGTGAAATGTGACTAATGATGTCAAAGTGAGAAAGCAAGGTTTTAGTGAAGCACTGAGCAAGACAGGGAGAATTATTACTTTGTACTTACTTTATATTCTCAAATGTTCATATATCTTGGAAGGTCATTTTCAAGACATTTAATAAATTGTCCACATATACTAAAGAAACTGTTTTTTCACTTTAGTTGCGTAAGTCAGTTTTTCGGTGGCCAAACGACAGAAACAGCTGATCACAGACAAGACATAGATAAGACCAGAGTACCACGGATCTTGGCTAATAAAATGCCACAGAGACATGCACAACCATGTTCAGGAAATCTTTTGGTAATATTTATTGTGCTGGACCTCCACAGCTCACAAGTGTACTCACCTCTGTTGTGTTGCAGCAGAACGATGGTGGGGTTAACTGAACTGGTGCAGGGATACACAGAGCTGGATGTTGATATGGTTGTCTGGGGAATGTCACTGAAGGATGGACACTGGTTTTCTTTTACACTTTCTGCTGAATTGGACTGAAAATAACAGAAACTTCACTGTAAATTTCATAGAAGACATACAAGTATTCCTATATTAATCTGAAATCAAACACAGACCACAAATAAATGAGATCACATTGTCGTCAAAATTGTAAAAAACAAAAAGAATTGAGCAAAGATCCTGTGTTAAAAGGAAATGGAAGTAAACGTACCTGGCACTGACTGTTGTTTACAGGAGGTAAATCCGCTGTGGTGTGGCTGCCTCCTTCAGCCAATCCTGCTTTAGAGCTGTCTCCATTAATCTGGTGTGTCCAGCCGCCTATAAAGAGTCCACAACTCTCTCAGTAAATATACAGAAAACATTGAGGATGAGTCAAAAAGTACAGTATTCCAATAAACTTGAAATATCAAACCAAAAATCAGCTAAATGCTGACAACATTTATTTCCATTTTATTCTGCAGGGCATGAATGTATCCCTTGGTGGTGTTCATGGTCATAGATACCAATATGCCCAGGAAAAGAAAAAAAAAAGATTCTCCCACAATCTGGGAACTTTGTCATCAGAACAAAGCTCTTACTGAGTCATCAACAGAGGCCATTTGTTCCAATGGCCTTTATATTCAGGCTTTACAACAGTTAATGCATCTCCCTCAAAGACTTTGCCAACCTCCAGTCCAGCACCAATGTACTCTTGGTAACAAACGAGCCCACAGTCAAGGCGCCTTTTTCCAAAGAGCAATGTGGGCAGGCTGTAACAAAAACACTCTTTGATGGGCAAATGAAAATATGAGCTAACACCATTTATTATGACTCGGAGTGTTCCAGGCTATGCAGAATGCATCACACAACATCAGGAGATACTTAGTTAGGGTCATACTCCTTATAGCTGATAATGTACCTGATCCCAAAAGCCAATTCTTATTATCATCAAACAGAACTTTAAGGCATGTAAAGAAAGATGTTGAAATGCTTTTAACATGAACGCAATGTTCACATTCTCTGTCCACATTCTACAGGGAGCTGTTCCTATTGACATGGCCATGCAACTATTACTGTCCTCTAAACTTTTTTGTCATCATGTGGGAACTAGTGATGGAACAGCTGTGGCATTCGTTCTGACTCACTTGTCGTTGTGATGACATTTGGCTCTTTGCTGATGAGGCCCTCATCATCAATGTGAACAAGGGTGGCCCTCAGAGTCACAACTCCTTTCCCTTTACACACTCTGCTGGGGTCCAAATCTAGAAATGTTCAAAATAACAGGCTCATTTCCTCAGTTTCACATACTTAAATGCAATGCAGTTTGATTTGGTTTACCCAAGAAGTTACTACAGCTTCAGATATTTAGATAGATAGATATGAACTTTATTATCTATTTCTACCTGGAATCCTATTTAAAGCAACCTCCTGCTCCCCATGTTCAAAATAGAACTGCAACATCAAAACCAGGCCAATATATTAATATCCCATGATTCTGTAAAACTAATTGCCAGTGGTTGAAGTGGAGCAGCTTATCATTTTGTGACACTGCATTGGTTATAAATGATTTTTACAAGTCACTTTCTAAGTGAATAACAATTATCTCACTGATTTAGGCTTTGAAAAATAATTGTAGAGCACGGATACATCACCTGCAGCAGGAATCAGGTCAGGAGAGCCTTTCATGGTTGCCAAGGGAGTGATCTTGACGGCACAGACTGATTGAGGACCCGATGGTACTTAATTAAATACACACACAATGCTAATACAACAATTTGTCAGGTGGCTGAAATGTTACAGAAATATTAAAACCATTTAAATACAAACTGAAAGCCTGCCCAGCCAATTAATAATAAAAAAAAGTACTATGTACTTTAAGATGCTTGCACATTCTGCACCAACAAAAGCTCTAAATTAATGTGTTTGTGTTTCTTTGTATCTCCTCAGCATCTGATTTTGTGAATATGGTTTACAGGATTATTTGTTCACTTACTGGGAGTTGAGCTTGGTCTTATGCTGCCCTCTTGTGGAGAGCCCTGAAGTAGAAACACAGTATTGTCAAGAAACAGTTATTTTGAAGCTAGTTGAAAAATACACAAGACACATTCAATTTATGTAATTATCTTTTTAGAAATGTTATCCATTTGGTCTGTTATAAATTGATGTTTAAACTGTAAAAAAAAGGAAAGTAAACAATTCCCTGTAAATGTAATTCTTTAAATTAACTTTTTAATGTTCTTTCTTTATGTTTTTGCTTGTTGATGGTTTGTTTCCTGCCCTTATTTTTGCTGTGATAAATATTTGTAAAAAAAAAAAAAAAAAGTATTTCCACTTAACTTCAAGTCTTGTGCACATCCACAAAGTACGTATAAAAAGTCAAATTGAAGTAAAAAAACTCCAAACATCAATTCTGAAGACTCATTTTTATTTTTAACGTTATTACAGGACTTATTTGGCTGCCAATTCTTCCATTGGATTTGGGAAAAAAATTGACCTGCCTTGAACCAATGATATGAATCAGAAATGTTCCTCTTTAAGGACACGAAGAGAGGGTGTAAGTGAGAACAAATATATGCTAATCTGAGCTGCATGAGAGGACCATGCTGTAGCAACACCAAGGCCACCAGAAAAGTAGTCGTGAAACGCTCCCATTGAGCTGCACAATTGATTTAGACCTCCTTATTTAAAGGGGAAAGGGTAGGGCTAAATAGAGACACACACAGAAAGGCACTTCAACAATTACTCAACCGCACATGTACAAACACTATGCAAATAAAAAGAGCTATTTTTGTAGGCTATGAATAATGGATTCATTCTGTGTTTATGTTGTATTATGTCCACTATGTTTGCACATGGAGGTAAATAAGGCAACCTGCAGAACCGACAAAGGGATTTGTGTTCCAGCTGGAAAGTCTGCAAACAGGCCCAAATAGATGAGGGGAAAATGGGACTTATTCCAACATGTCCCAAGAGGACACAGCTATAACCTTTCAAACATCTCCTGATCTTTGAGCTGAGCTGTCCCTGAGTATCAGATCATGTTTACATATTTTCACAATCTCTTTCATTAAAAAAAATAACATTATGGGACATTTCTTTCTGAGAAATGTTTAAACTCAACATTGCATCTGCTGTATCCTCAGGTGTGAATACACAATAAAAAGAACCTCTCACATATGATAGATAATGGGAAGATGATGGCTTGCAGTGTTAAGTTTGCTGTATAAACAGACGAGAGCATAGATCACCCCAGGCCTTTTTAGGAAGAAATGCCACAGAGCAGAGCCGGGCAAAGAATACCATCCATTCAGCCTGTGAAAAAAAAGAAGAGCATCGTTGGAGCTCTGTGATGGCCAGTAAGGATTTAGTAAGATAAACAGAAAATGAGAAGACACTTCTCATCAGCCCAACTCCAGTAAAACTGCAATTTACTTAAATTAACAATCACTCATTCTAATCTTTAACACTTTCAGAGGTCTCTGCCTGACAAATGGGGAAATATCTGACACAAAAACAATGACCTAGGAAGAAGGGAGATCGGATTGAGCAGTTAATGTATTTTCTAGGCTTCCAACAGACATTTTTATATAATGTAATTTTTTTGTAAATTGATGACTAGTTATCTGATGTCAGATATTAGAACCAGAGCAGAACTAGGATCAAACATACCCCTTCCTTTCTGTTGAGCACAGATGTTATTGGTCTTACTTTGATCTTATTATCTCATCTGTTCTTAACCTTTACACATTTCAAGGGAACAAAACATTAATAAAGTCATTCTTAATGCAAGATGTTAATGCAGGATGTATCATATCTGTCACTTATCATTAACAATTGATCAAGTCACTATAACTTTATTGGACTACATCACAGTTAATGAAAGTTATTTAAGTAAGCAGTAATCCTGAATTGTTAGGGGATCAAATTAGCTGGATTCAAGTTACACAGTTTACTGATTTTCTCTTTCTTTCTGAGAGAAGACCTGCATATTTCTATTGAAAACAAAAAATAATTTGTTCCCTTAATGTGACGCGTCAAGACCTAAAGACCTAATAAATCCTGGTCAAAATATTTTCACCTCTAATCCAAAAAAATGTGATTACCCAAGAGCAGGATATAGTGAAGCCTTTCCAACTTCTAATACCAGGACTCACTCACACATTAATACAACACAATGGCCTTAGCGTAACCCAAAAAAAACATGTCCAAAAATGAGCAACTCTCAAAAGGCTATGATAACCCTGAAGCATCACTGAAGATGTAGTAAGGTGCATTACCAATCTCATGCAGTGCACAGCAAATCCTTAGTCCACGTACACGATGTCCGTCTGAAGACTCCTGAGACTTCTGGCTGAGCTTTGAGGGTCTTGTTTGGGACAGTCCCATTTTTTACCTTGACCCATGCTATGTAGGGGGTCTGTATGCTTTTTGCCAACAGGCACTCCCAGATGGACCTGTCACCATATTCTATCTGGGAATGTGTCACCCACTCAACAACTGTGCAGACAGAGCACCACATCAAATTCTTCCATACCCAAGTGCTCCCTAAGGACCGGCCCATGAGAGAAAGAGGATGACAGGATCCACTTTTTTAAGGTTTATTTTTGGGTGTTTAATGCCTTTATTTAGAACCAGAAAAGTGGATAGAGTCAACATCAGGGAACATGTAGGAAAGAAGCCACAGGTCGGATTCGAACAGGACTACAGTCTCTGTACATGACCTATGCATATTAACCACTTGGCTACCAGAGCCCCCCAACCCTCCATAAGGTCTTTATAAGCCTTTTTCTAACCCTTTTTCAGCATGATGAATAATGTGGCTACTTTTCATGATAATATAAGATATATGTGAGAATTTTATATCATAAAATTAAAAATAAATTTGAACAAAGCCGATAGAATAAATGTCAATCTTCAAAACAGTTCCCCAATATCAAATATTGTTAATAGCAATTATTTTAATAAATGAATCTTTTTTATATGTAACATAAAATACTTATTGTTCTGAAGGCTAATACCAAAATGACCAAAGACTAAAATGTTGTAATTGTAGCCCTGAAAGCTTCTAAAAGATGTCTGCTGTACAGTATGTAGCCCTGTTTATGGTTTATGAAAATCTTATAAATGTTATTTAATGTCATAAAAAGACATGAATCTGAAACAAGCTCCAGACTGTCTGACCCCCAGTGAAGCCTACACAAAGGCAGGCTGGTACCAAGTTGAACTATACTGTATTTCATGCAGGGGGTCTCTATGATTGAGTCTGAGGTCGCCTTAAAGTAAGTTCATACAAAAGAGCTCTCATCATACGCTCAGCTGGAAGGGAGGACAGAAAGGGGCTGTTACGTAACACTGTTTGACTTCTGCTTTGTCAACAAACGGCAGAGGGGAGAGAAGCTATCCAGTACTGCTTGTGGATCCCACAAAATAGCTCCAAACATGGCTCGAAAGGGCTGCTCCAGAGCAGCAGCTTATCCCCCCTGATTGAAAATAGACCCCCACCATCCCTCCAACCGCCTAACTCGCTTCCATAAACAGCTTCCATGCTGGACAGCAGCATGGGATTCTACACATTCCTCTACAGCTATTTGAAGTTCATTTCAAACAACTAAAGCATAAAAGGAAATGTATGTAACTTATAGGCCGCAGTCATCGTTGGTCTTTGAGCAGAGGGTTTAACCAGTGTGTAGTGATTCTGTGGTTTTCCTTTCATATTTAAGGAGTTTTTTTTGGAGGACATCAGGAATAAAAATCCTTATTTGAGACCTTAAACAAATGAAATGTCACATTAGGGAATATAAAATGTGTCCTTTCATGCATGAAGAGGTTGCAGCCTGCAAACATGTCCAAGAGAGACCCTAACAGTTATTGGACGTGACTATCGCCACATCCCTATAGGACAGGGAACACTTGGCTGCATGGCAAATACAAAGGTCCTGGGCAGGACAGCAGTTGGCTGCATCGACAAAACTGCCAGTAAAAGATGCTGGGATAGGAAGCCAGCCTGCTTATAACGTGCCTGCTAGGCTTTTAGAGCCAGTGTTATAAGAATGTCTTTAAGCAGACAGCTTGCCAAGGGTGATACATCTTCACAGCTAGGGCTCCAGGCCTGCACTGATTATTCAAGTAACTTGGCTGGGGTCTATTATAGTGCTTAGAGAGTTTAATTTTTAGGATGCAAAGCGAAAAAAATGTAAATACCAGGTATGGTATTTACATTTTTTTCTGAATGAGGGAAAAATTAAAGGAATCCTCAATCAGATAAAAAAAATGTGTTGTGATAATAGAAAAAAAATTGTATTGACATAAAAAGAAGAGACACGCCTAGTATTTATGAAATGATCTGCCTTGATTTCAAGCTTGGTTTGGCATAAGAGATTTTCCTGGTTGAGACAAAAAGGGCGTGCTGCACAATAGGTGAGCTGATGTGACTAATGAAATCATAGTCTGAGAGAGTGCTGACAGTGTTTCCTTATCTCTGCTGGATGTTTTGACTCCAAAGGGGATTGGAGGTTGTGAGTGTGTTCCCTTATATAACTCTCTGAGTGCATATATGACAGGGCTAGGCCTACTTGATAATTGAGTCATAGGATATGGCAGCTAAACGTGAATATAAACAGCAACGTGATAATCCAGCCATTTTAAGTGCTATGAAGTTATCCCTGTTTGAAATGTGTGTCCAGCCGGACTCCAGCGGGTTCCCATCATCTGTCTATTTCAGGAATGCCTGCCTAGTTTGACCCACCACCCAGCTAACAGAAATACAGGCAGCTCCATCAATTAGAGCCTGGCTTTTGAGGAGTCTTTGTAGAAATAAGATTATTGTTTAATATGTTTCATAATTATATATATATCACTGCCACTTGGTTATTTGGGTTTGGTTTGTGTGATAATTAGAAAAACACACGCTGGCTATTATCAACGTTTCTGCCATTGACCAATGTGATGCTGTTGTTTTCCAAACAAACATACAACACAGGGGAGAGGTGTTGGTTGGGAGACGGTGTGCTGCATAAATCCACTTAAGCATGATTGTCTTTTCACTGCCTTGTTTACATGCAACCAAGAAGGGGTGGGGGTGGGGGTTCTTTGTGCCATGGACCTTGGGAAGCCAAAGCACAACACTTCACCATCCACTTCAGCCAATGGCAGCAGATGGGGAAGGCGGGGGGCTAGGGGGTTGCTTAGCAACTTGTTGTAACATTAACAGAGTGAAAACAGAAACCTGGTGTCTGGCTGAAACATGCTGCCTGATCCAGAGCAGTCTGATATTCAACACAAGGTTCTTTTCTGTAGTTAGTTCAATATGAACCTTACCTATGCTGTTGGCATGCATAGATCCTGAATACAAAAATGTTTATTTTGAATTGCCAAAGACACCTTGGCAAGGAAAGTAAACCTGAATGTCACAACTTGTGTAGTATTTGTACCTTAATGAACACAATGTAACTACCGGTATTTAAAATGATATGAAATAAAGGTTCACTTTTCCAAAGCAACTGGGGATGATCATAGGAAAACAAGAGAGCCGGTCTGGAAACCAACCCACTTGGCAAATCTTTTAAATTCAATTTACAGATTCATGTTTCTGGGGGTTGCTGCTCTCAAATCTAGGGCATCTGTGTAATGTGACTCTGAACAAGTTTCATAAAATATTAAAAACTATGCTGGGTTCATACAAACAGGTGCCTTCCTTACTCAACAGGTTATCATTTGTCAAGCTACAAAAACACAGTGTGCAGAGTGGACACAAGATGTGCCTTCAAGAGGAATTAGAAAAAAAATTCACTAAGTGACAAAACAAACTGTAAATGTAAACTGTAAAAGACTTGAGCTTATATAGCACTTTTCTAGTCTTCTGACTTCTCACCCAATCACACACTGATGGTAGAGATCACTATGTACTATCATCCATCAGAAGTAACTAATCTCATTCATACACTACCACTGAAGCAGAGGGAGCAATTCAGGGTTAAGTGTCTTGCCCAAGGACACATCGGACATGTTGCCCAGCTGGGGACTGAACCCTTGACCTTCCAGTTGAGAGGTAGCAACTCTACCAACTGAGCCACAGCCGCCCCAATGCTTCAACACACACACACACACACACACACACACACACACACACACACACACACACACACACACACAGTGCTGTGCCTCTGTCTTGGAACAAGTTGAATGAATTATTTATGTTGGGGTTAATAATTCATCAAGGCTGTTTTAGGTTCTCGTTACTCAGCAGAGACGTATACATCTCCTGGGTTTCGGAGGAATAACTTTTTTTCCTTAATATGGAGTTCATGCTGCACGCTTGCCAGATGAATTCGAATTGTCTGAAAGGACGTCTAAAGTTATAAATACCATGGATCTTTGGAAATTGTTAAGAAAATACTGTTTTGCTTCGTGATACAATAAAATGTAAAACAAATGTAAGTAGGCTATTTGATCATCTACATGTCAACACAGTAAGTCAACACATACTGTTCATTATGTAGCCTCAGGCAGACCGGTTTGTTGAACTAAAACATGAAGTTTAACATTCAGGCCCACTGTGTCAATAATTGCACAACTGTGCATTTACACACAGTTTCTGAGTTTCAGGGTGTTTACAAAGATTCACTGAAATTAGAATCTATATTCCACTATTTTTCTAAAACAAGAGTGTTATTTACAACTGAAAAACTCTTCACAATAACCTACTCCTCTTACATTAAATAACTCAGGTCATTTTCATCTTCAAAGCCTCTGATCAAAAGATACGACAGTCTAACCAGAGCACAATGTGACAGAATAACTTACAGAGATACTACTAACTAAAGTCGTCCTTACTCCATGCCGCATGATAGCCATTCCATGAAGTGCGTGCTTCTGATGTCACAGCTTGATTGTATGCATGTGGAGTAGCCTGTAGTCTCCTCCTATGACTCACAATGACAACCCGCTAATAAACCGCATTACACTACCTGCCAACTTGGAGACACAAGCAATGTCAAAGAATGCATTAGTCTTTATAAAATAATATCGGATAACATTCAGCAGGGTGAAAGTCGCCAGCATTTGATTATCGGACCTGGGAACATTTGCTTTTCTCTCTCGGGTATTCAGCCTCAAAGTGCGGCACCCATGGCGGGACGCATTGCCATTGTATGCAACTGCCTGTACTGCAGTAACTGTCCCAAAGCCACTGCGCCTCTCTGCTGAGGTACCAAAAGGAAATTGGCTGACTCGTAAACATACTTATGTTTGGTAAGAAATGCTGAGTTCACACTTCATGTCTGCACTAAGACGTAGGTTACACTGAGTTGTGCTGGCTTTGCATCATGTCATATATCATGGGCCAGCTGTTGTGGTGCCAATGTCACCAAATGTGGTCATGGAATAAGAATACAAAGGTCCAGTAAATAAGAAAGATACACAGAGACATGTAGCAGTGATCCGGAGCAGAAACATGCTTACCTCACTGAGATGGTAATCCAGTGTTATGCTCGCTGAAGCAGACACACCTCACTGAGCTTCGTGCGCCGTCGGCTCCTCTCCACCAGCGTCTTGTCAGCGCTTCACACTCACCGGCACCAGCTGCGTCAAAACCCCCGCACAACACAAGGAGAAAGCACCGGGGGCTGGGCCATTGACCCTTCACAATAAGAGCTCGGATGTCCCTTTATAGTAAAACTGATAACCTATGAAGGTTCAGAATTCGGACTGAAATAAGGTCCAGTTCAGTTAATAGATTTTAGGCACAAGCAAGCTGCAAGCACTAAGATGATCTCTTTATACCCAAGACCAAACAATACATCAAAAAGTTCTACCAAAAAAGAGTGGCTTGGATGCTTTTTCAATGGGTGATTCTTGCTGACACTGAACAGTTTGTTCCTAACTATTTAGTCAGAAATTGTCTATGTTAAGACAGTCTATGGGCGGTAGTAAGGATCCATGTTTTGGTCCACCTCTCTTCCACTATTGAACAAGTCCTGTCAAAGCTATCTGGCTCATTATCTGCTAAATGCTGCCCCATGTACTCTAGCTGGTCTATAACTTTGTTTGTCCATCTAGGGTCCTGGGCAGTTGGCACACAGGGATTTTTGGATATTTATTTTCTTCAAAACAAACAACAGAAAAAGGACACAACTTAAAATAAACATAAACACATTGTACCTACATAACAAATCAAGTGAAAACTTGGGTGAATATTTTTGTTTGACTTATTCCATACAGCATGACCTGCAATGAGTGCAACCCCCCCCCCCCCCCCCCCCCCCACCCCTGTCTGTTTTATGGTTCTGTTGTCAAGGTGAGGAGGGGTCTAGCAATACATTTATCAGCTTCAGTCTGAATAAGTGTTCATCACTGAGTTCTTCATCAGTTAAAGATGAGAAGATGAAGTTAATATAACACTACTCTTTGTTATTTGACTCATTGTAAATATGGTCTAGAAACAAATATTGATTTAAAAAAACAAAACAATTGAAAATACTTTTTCATATCCCAATATATTTTTATTGCAATGGTTGGAAAATGCATTTGTCAGTCGTAGTCTTAACAGCTATATTGAAATTTTGCACACAAAAAAATGCTGAAAATTAACGTTGACAAAAAAGGATTGCGGAAAATATGAATTTACTATGAAAGTTCTGACAAGAACTTAGCTTAGCTTTAGCTAACTACACACTCTCACCCTTTACATAATGGTTTAAAACTTCAGAATATATATATTTTTTATTATTTTGATGAAGTGAAATATCATTTGATTCTACATGCTTTATGCAAAAAAAAAAAAAAAAAATTAAATACATTTTCACACTTTGGAGAAGATGTGAGTGGAGTCCACCCATCAAGGGCCGAACAGAAAACATCTAGCGCCATCAAGTGGCCAAACATGATAATGCACAAGACAATACCATAGTCAATCATCAACACCAAACTTTGTCCTCAAAGAAGTATAATGCTGATATCATCTCAAGTATAATAAATAACTAACAACTAATAACAATGTCAAGGTATAGTAAGTTGAATAACTTCTGCTTTCCCACTTGTGGCACATACACCTTCAGACATAAACAATGATATGCTGTATTGGGACTCTGATTATTGTTTGGACATGGATCCATTAGGATTTTAAAAAATGTCTGCCTGTCTCTTCATGTGAATAAACCTTATTAAATGTCAAAGAACACAGTCTTTTCAAGTCTATTACTCTTCTTCATTAAAAAATAAGCAGTACAGTAGACCTGTCAATCAACGCAGGCGGCGAGGTAAAGGAGGTGCTGAGTTTGTGTGTCTTTGAGTGGGTCTTTGAGGAAGTGCTCGAGTTGGACAGGATATGTAGCGATCGGTCTTCTCCGGAATCCTGCATAAAAAAGCAAAAAGCATGAGGTAATCTGCTCTGTCGCACCGAACCTTTCCTGGATAAACTGCGGTACTGTCTGAATGTTATAGCTATTGTCAAACCAGCCATTACAAAAAAAACAACAACAAACAATAGCACCACATATCTAGACTGAAAAACCTGTGTTAATATAGTAAACCAAAGATACAATAATTTTCCATTCATTTTTCCGTCTACCTTTGTAATATTCAAAAATCTTTGAATGCTTTTAATGCCTTGTCAGGAAGATTATTTGACCCAGTTGAAAAAAAGAATCTGCTGCCTGCACAGAGGAATCCATATCACAAGAGGAAGAGCAAACATACAAGCAGAACTTCTCTGCTTGGTGAGGGACTTCAGGTGTCATATACAGGCAACGTCTAGCTTTCTATCTCAGGTAGCCCGTTAGTCTGAGGGCCTGGCAAGTAGAGAGTTTGGAGGTGGGTTGTCTAGGTCATTTAGCATCAACACTGGTTCATGTGACTGCCTTCTCCCTTCAGTGTTAAGTTCCACTTAACGAGGGATATCCACTTCCTGGGATGCGCTGTGAGATCTTCTCTTTGACATCATGCACCTTTGTCCATTTTTTCAGGGTACAAGTCATTCATGCAGTGCCCATAAGCCTCTAGGAACCATTAGGCTGCAAACATGCAGTCTAGGTAAATTCTATAGAGACATGTTTTTGTAAAGACGTGGGCTCGTTACAGAACGTTCTTTTCCCTCTGTATTCCCAGGTCACACAACACTTAGTGTGTAAGAGACAGATCATATCTGGAGTTGAGCACTGCCTCAGCTGGTCATCCAGTAGTCATAAAACTGTTTAACATTTTTTTTTTTTTTTAATTTACAAAAAAACCCCAATAATAATAAAAAAAAGATATACTCTTTTGAAATGTTTAATATGAGCTTAGATTTCAAACTGTTTCCTGTATGTTCTCTCTCGTCACTCTGTATATGTGTACATAGATGTGCACATAATGAACATCAACCCCTTCATCACTTTCTCACTTTGTCTTCCGTCAGGGACAGCTGGCAGAACATTATTGTATCTCTAATGGCTGCCAGCAGATTCATTATCGGCCTCTCTGTTTTTTTTAGCCGTAACAGGTCCACCCTTAAGCTAAGCTGTAAATATTGTTCATACTGTAACTATCTTATATCCATCAATGCTGCTCTATAATATACTAGTCTTATCTGTATCCTCTGCACCAGCTTGCCATATTACCTTACTACCATATTGCACTTTATGCCTATTCATGTTTGTACTGCACCTTGTTGCTCTTTTGCACTTTTTTTGGTTAGAACGCCAAAAACATTTTGTTGTCTCTGTACTTGTACTCTGCACAATGACAATAAAGTTGAATCTAATCTAATCTAATCCACCCTTAAGATTTACTACATTTACATAGAACTACATTTCTAGAGAAATCTATGTACTGTTTGCTCTTTGATTAGTGTTGTACTTACTCTCTGATGTATGTCGCTTTGGATAAAAGCGTCTGCTAAGTGAATTGGGTGGGTGTTGGGTGTGAATGAAATATGTTTGTTGTTAATATTCTCAGTTTCTGTGTGTGTCAATTTGTGTGTGTATTGCTCCTTGTGTGTTCTGTGGAAGAGTTAAGTGCTAGTATTATGTGTCATGGCCCTTTCACTCTGTGGCTCCCTCCTGATTGATGTTCATTCCTTTCACCTGCTCAAACCTGCGCACTAGCTCTCCCTCTCCTCATCAACTCAGCAGTATATATAACCCCGGCTCTCCATCCACTCATTGCCAGATCGTTGTGTCAACTACTGCGGTAGACTACGGCTCAGGCTAATTAAGATTTTGAACGATTTTTGAAAATAATCTTTTGTGCTTATTTTATTTTTGAGTCTCACCCTGTTTTTTCCTTTGCTTCAGGATCACCATTCACCCACCTGCCTTCCTGCTCAGCCATCTGCCTCAAACTGCTCTCTGGACTCAGGACCACTCAGCCACGCTCACACCCCTACTCTGGTCTGGTCAGCCTTCATCCCCTTCACTCTGCTAACCTCCAGAATCTTTAACCCATCTTCATCTCCATTTGCCACAATAAACCTCATTACCAATCGACCCCTCTGTTTATGTGTCCTGCATCTGGGTCCTAAATTCACTGGTCGTAACAATTATCGGTATCCTTTTAATATTTTGGCTGTGGCTGATAACTGGTAAAAAATAGAAGTTTGTTATAGAATATTTTAGGGAAAAATATAAATAAATCTGCCTCCTGAGAAAACTGTCCATGTTTACAGATGTACAGAAGGCCTTCACTAATGTATTTAAAGTTAAGAATAATGGTGTTTCCTGATGTTACCATACAAAAACCTTTATTGAGGAAAAACACACATTGGTATTATTTCTTTGTATTGTACAATACAACTGTTTTGTATCACTAAATTAAATAAGGTTGTATTCTTGTGCATATTGACACCAGATAAGGAGGAATAATTGATCTTTGAACTTGTTCAAACTGACCTCTCTGGGACTCTTGGAGGAATCCTGGGTGCAGAAATGAGCGCTGCAGCATCACATGGCCGTGGAGGTCGTGGTGGAGGAGGAAGATTTTCTATTGTGTCCTTCAAAAGATCAAATAGATATTGTAATAACACCTAATCCACTTTGAAAATAAGAATTGTCATGTAAGCTCTCTATGATCTTGATCTAACAACATTAAATAATAACTTAATGTAGACTGGCCAAACTCTTTTGAGTATATAAGAATGTTGGTTTACAAAAAAGTCCAAATATATTTAACTTAGCTTCAGAAAAGTGTGCTGACTTTTTCAGTATTCTTTTTCAATATATATTTTATTGACCTTTATTGAGAATTGATTAGGTTCATTCATCATTGGAGAACTTTGTAGTTAGCTTCTTCTTATATTCTAAAGGTATGAGTATGTTAAGATTGAAATCTGCAGAAACAAAACATCTCTTTTCTTATCAAGCACTGATGTGTTTCTCATTTCTGATAAAGTATTGCGATGTGTGCTTCAAAGACTTTACAAAAAAGTTATTGTCGATTGTGTCTCACTACGAAATTACGAACTCTGAATTAGATCTGCACTTGTAGGTTTTTTTTTCATAATATATGAAGCTATTGACTACATAATTAAAACTTTACTCAAAAACTTTTGTATTTTTTGGAACCTAAGACACAAATAGTCTTTTTGTCTCTTTGTTTTTACTTCAGGCTCACCTCAAAGTCAGGCTCGGTCCCACTGCTGTTGCTAAATGTGCTGTGAGTGCTCAGTCTGTTACTCTCAGTACCTGGTGTTCAAAAAAAGATCAATGTGAAAAGTCAAGACATGATACAGGTTTCTTTGTGGTTGGTACTTGTGGGGAAGATTGGTTTTAGATGACTGTTCAGCATGTATGCAAGGAGAGCTAGAAGCCATCAGAGCTATATTGAAAAAAGTTCAAAGATATAGCAGATAAACTTAATGTAAAACCACGAGGCTGTGCAAATTCAATTCACATAAAAATATGAAATCATTTAAAAGTGCAGTGTTTAAACTATTCTTACCATACACATTTGTTTTTTTTCTTTGTAAAAAAGATTAAAACAAATAATTTGGGCTCTTAAAATGATACTGTCTTTGTTGTAAAAATGTTCAGGAGGGAATTTTCATCTAACATGTTTAATTTCTCTATCCATCCATGTATTATCAATACTGTTGATCCTGTTCTCTGTTAGAAGGGGCTGGAGCTGATCCAAGCTGTCATTGGGGTACACGCTGGACTGGTTGTCAGTCAGTCCCAGGGCAGACATACAAAGACAAAAAAAAACATGCACAGTCACATCCACACCTACAGAAAATGTAGAGTCACAATTAACCCGACGAGCATTTGGACAGAGGGAGGAAGCCAGAGTGCATTGTGGGAACCCGTGAATGCATGGGGAGAACATGCCAACTCCACAAACAAATGCAAATACAAATACAAACATATTTGTCTGCCAGCCAATGAATAAGCCCTAATTTATTACATTACATTTCAATTCACATCCAGGCTTATTTGAGATGTCTCTGGATATCTGTTGTGTAATTTTGCACAAGGTTAAGATTAAGGTAATTCTCAGACTCAATGTCTGAAAAAAGCAGGTCGACGGTCTTTATTTAGAAAGCTTCTTAGAGAACTGTTTATTTGTTGTTTTTGCAGCCATTTGATCTAATTGACTCCACAGAAGGGGTGTTAAAAATTGAAATACATTATAAAAAGAGTGAATTGTCATAGCCTGACTTGTTTGCAAGTAAAAGCATCTGTAAAGATTTGTTGTGTGTTTTTAAAATTGCAGCTTTGGATATGAAGATTGTTTAAAGTTTTCTTTAGCTGTGCAACATCCAAACAGGTTACTAAATGTTTTTTTCACAGTACCAGTATGGTGAGAAACAGAAGGGGGAAAAGACTGATGATGAACGATTGCAAGAAATTAAAAGACATGTTCTGAGCCTACATTAAACCTGAATCTGCTTACTGGGATTCAATACATTGCGTTTCTTTTCAGACAGAATAATGAAGGAAGCTTTGGTTCAGTAAGCATTGTTTGAATGTAAAACAAAGGGCTGAACTAATAAGGTAATGTCTATATTTCCTTTAGGTTTAGATGATAAGGGCTATTTTCATTTCCTCCAGGCAATGGAAGGCTTTAGGTTCTTCAGCCACGAAGGTGTAAAAAAACTAAATGAAGTAATTTATCAGTTTGTGTATAGCAAGCAGAAATGGATCAATTTCACCTTTGTTACACATCCTTTTTCAAAAACCCTTTTTTTTACATCCTGTAAAAAACTGTTTTCAGTCTGTAATGCCACAGCTTTGAGGAATGACTAAGGCTCCAATGTACTTTGGTCCTTGTTGTTTAGTAACAGTTTAATCACTGAGACACAGGGTTGAAAAACAAACACAAAAGCATTTGGACTCACTGGATGTGCTGGACGTGCTGCCAGTCTTCCAGCTGCCTCTCTGTATAGTATGTGCTGCTGGAGGTGGAGGAGGAGCCTCCGCCCTGGGTGCAGGCTCGTACACAGAACACTCCAATGTCACACTGGAGCCCCAGTATAAATTCCTTTGAAGCGGAGCACTAATCTCATAATCTAAAGAGGGGGTGCAGTGGGGGGAGGTTTAAACAATGGTATGTGATTTTACACTGTGTGCTGTCAGAAATTTCAAATGTATGACTGTAAGACATGTTAAGGTGAGTAAATCGTGGAGATATAAATATTAAAGGTCCATTTTCACCAAGATCCTTTCCAGTCTTCTCTCTTTCTTTGTGTCGTCTGGTTATACTGTCTCGTAATCGCTTCAGATTTTCCTGAGGAAAAGTAACATATGATACAGGACAAATCAATTCCTTGATCACTTTCCAGAAACTGACAGACCATATACAGTGTGGATAGTTGATGTACCTGCTGATAGCGAATAGAGTTGGCCCTCCGCTCATGATCCAACTGCCAGGCCTTGAACTCTTGCACAGCTTCATCCACACTAATTTCCCCCACTTTCACCCTCTCCTGCAGAGATATGAGCTGTCTCTGTCCGGGTGTTTTCATTCCAGCATAAGGATCATAAGAAGGGGAGGGTTGGTCTGCAACAGGCTGGCCTGCATTAGAGGAAAAGTCATCAGTAAACAATAAGAGAGGACTTAACCAATCATCTGGAATTGTTTGCACTTTGCTACTAAAGCTGCTGGAAAAGAAGCCTTGTGACTTGTAAAAAGAAGAAGAAAAATTGATTTTTAATAGAAAGACTAAGGGGAGGCAGAATCAAGCTCATAGGTAAAGAGTGACTGCTCTGGGGGGGGGGGGGGGGAGTTTAAATAAATAGGTAAGAACAAGTGTGTAAAGGCATATTTTGATAGAATTGTATTAATAAAATCTATTAAAAATGTTAATTAATTTATGACTGCACTGTATAACTCTTTTCATGTTGGTCCTGGGGGAGTTCAGCTTTTATTAGAAACAAGGAGGGCCCAAGGAAAAAAGGTTGGGAACTTCTGTACTCACACTAATATCAAAAGGGGCAAAGAAACTGGAGAATGCCTCATAAGTAATTAAATAAAAACACTGCATGGTGACATTAGCCTACTAAAACAGTTAACACCAAAAACAAACACAATGAGAGGTTTTTCATAAATTCTAAAAAATATTTAAAAAAATAAAGTTTTATTCTTTTGGTAGGTTGAACTTTTCAAAATAAAATATAAACATTTTTAAATGGCCTTACAACCCACACATTTAAAAGAGGACATAACAAACACAAAAAGAAAGAGTTGTAATTTTCAGTCATTGTTACTGCTTACCTTCAGGAAATCCAGTTTCCATAGTTTCTCTCTGAGATGTACCTTTATCTGAAAATACTGTGTAAATATTGAGTTCATTATTTGGCAGGAGTACTTTAATGAAATCTCATGTACCAAAACATTTTGGAGAAATACAATAAACTGCTTAATACCTCTAGAAATGTATGCCATAGGCTTCTGAGGCTCAGACTCAGTCTCAGGTCTGGGGATGGGTGCAGGTGGACGGTTCTGGATTACAGGATTATAGGTGCTGTTTGTGTCCACAGTGTCATAGATATCCTCTGGTAAGAGGTTGTATGGATCCTCCTCTTCTTCAATTTGATCCAAGTCATATTGACTTTCTTTTTCATCTTCACTTTTAAATTGTTCAATGTTTTCCTGGCTCTGTGAATGTGGTTTTGCTGAAGGGCACAAAGTAACCACTTTTCACACACAACAAACAAGATGCTTTAATTGTTATGGGCTTAAAATATGTGGTTTCAAAGTATACCTTGGAAGAACTTCCTAAGCAAAGCTTCTTCAGGGTTCTCATCAATTGCAGACATCCCCTCATCTGAAAACAAACCAGGACAGCATCATCAGCAACAGTTTAACAAAACATATTTAAATATTAAGGACTAACACCATTTTCTTTTACATACATAGGTCCTCTGCACATTCAGGGTCTATCCCCAGCATCGACTCATATATGTCCTCTGAGCAACCTGAGTACTTCATCATGATATCTTGAGAGTTAGCTGACATCAACTCGTACACCTCTGCACTCTCCTCAGTGTTG